ATTGGGAAATGTCTTTTGTGTGAAGTGTATCATTGGGCATGTGGAGGTATTATTGATATGAGAAAATGCTAAGTAACTGATTTACTATCTGAAAAGGGATTTACTATTGGGGAAAGGGAGGGAAGAAGAGACTGAACATAAACTGCACCTATGGATGAGGACAATGGGGGATGGGGAGGGGGCAGAGGGTGGGGTGGGAACCTGGTGGAGGGGGGAAGAAATGAGGAACCTTTGTAATAATATGAACAATAAAGATTGATTTTTTTAAAAAAAAGAAAGAAAAAAGAAAATACAGCTCCAGGAAAACCCCAGCACTGGAGCCAGTCTTGGGCCCGCCACACTCCTGCTAATTATCCTGCTACCCAGCATGTTGGGCAAGAGTCCTGGGAGCCTCCATGGCCTCCAGAGTGTGACTCTCCCACTAGTGTTGGTTGCGTCTCTTATGATGGGAACTCTTTCTGCGTTAGTCCTGGGCTTTGAGTTCCTGCTCCCAGCTGGATACCTGACGCCATAGAGCCACGGTGTGGGTGAACCGAGGCTCACCTGACATTGCATGTCTCCCCGGAGTGCCGAGACCACGTCTGTCCTGCCCTTAGCCCCTGCTGTAGGCCTGTCATCCTGCGTTCCACCAGGCCCCGCCTCTCAACCTGGTGCTGGCTACAGGGCCCCAGCCCAGCTTCTCCCCAGGCCGGTCACGAGGTTCCCGGTATGCAAGTCCTGAGCCAGCCGAATGGGCTGGCCTGTGGAGGCTTTGCTGCCCTGCAGTCTCCACCCCTGCTGAACTGCCCCCAGGCTCAGAGGATGGCCATATCCAGCCAGAGGGGTTCCTCTTCCCACTGCTCCCGCCCGTGGCCAGGGCACATTTGTCCATCAGTCTCACACACAGCTAGCTCCTACTCTTACTCTGGCCACAAACTAACTTTTCCTTTTATCCCCCAAAGATCAGTGAAAACTCTGATGATAATGGCAGCCAACACTTCCTGAACTATGTGCGTTGAGTACCGTTCAAGCACCTTACATGTATTGTCTCATATCCTTGGGAATCTGAACAGCTTTGTTCTACAAAGATAGGATTAAGGGATATGGCAAGGGAGCAACAAGCTGAGGCACCTGGGTACAGGCCCCACTCCGTGTGACCACACCTCTCAGGAGCCACAATTTCTGGTTTCTAGGCACTTGGGCTTCCAAACGATTACCCAGCTTTGACTCTCATATAAGTTTCTAGAATCTTCTTGCCATTTGTCTCCTTATTCTGGTCGTTACCCCCATGTCTTCTCCCCTGAGCCTTGCTATCTTCTCTGTTGCCTTCAGCCTGCCAGCAGAATGAAAGCTAAGGATTACAGATTTGCAGGGGATTCTGCAAAAAGCATAATCCAGGTGCATGTTATTGAGAATTGACTGAAAATCTAACTACCTAGGGTTTTTTTTAAGGCCCACTTTCTGAGTCTTCTCCCCCATTTCGGGGCCCATCTTGTCAGCTCTGCTCTGTAGCCACCACTACTGACCCAAGTCACAACTAAAAGATGCATCCTGCTGAAACCGGTTTGGCTTAGTGGATAGAGCATCAGCCTGCGGACTGAAAGGTCCCAGGTTCGATTCCAGTCAAGGGCATGTACCTTGGTTGCATCCCCGGTGGGGGGTGTGCAGGAGGCAGCTGATCGATGATTCTCTCTCATCAATGTTTCTGACTCTATCCCTCTCTGTAAAAAATCAATTATATATATATATATATATATATATATATATATATATATATATATATAGAGAGAGAGAGAGAGAGAGAGAGAGAGAGAGAGAGAGATTTTTTTTTTTTTTTTAAGATGCATCCTGAGCCTCCCTCCCTGCCTTCTCTGCAGCCTGAGGTGACCTGGAATCTCTGCACCCACTATTACAGCTGCCCGAGAGCCAGCTTCTGCTTCAGCAAGTGCTGCAGGGGGTTGCCAGCAGAGTCACCTCCTGCGGATGGGTTAGTGGCCTTCTAGGCCACTTCTAGCTGCCTGACAGCCTCAGCCTCCCCTCACTCAGCCCACATCCAGCAGCTGGGTTACAAAAAAGGGGAACTTGCTATTTAGAAGGGAATCCGAACGACTGTCAGCAGGACATAAATATTCATAGAGGGAGGTTAGAACTTGAGTCCCTAAAACCTTGATTTGTGTTAGTCTGTTTAAGCCTCATTAAAAAGTAGTAAATGAAAGTGGGGCTATTCCGTGGAACCGCAGAGAAATTGGGCTTGTTCAGATAAAGGCCTCTGACTGCCAGCTCCACAGGCCCTGCCGGAGCGCAACGGCAGATTGGCTTGGCCACTTGTAGTTTGCCAACCTCAATTTAAAGATTTTGCTTAGCATGAGTTCCTGGCCTTGCTCCGGGCCAGTTAGCACTTGTTTGGACACCTGGTAGCCTTCTAGACGCATTTAGAGATGGAAATCCCCAAACTTTTCCTTCCCAGAATGACATGCAAACCATGGTCTGGCCCAGGGGTGGCAGGGAGAAAACTAACCAAGGACTAACACTGCACTAGGTGGTCCACAAAGGCCGAATCTATGTGCATGATGCTTGCTTCTCCTAACTTCTTCCAGCTTCTATGGCACACCAGGTGGAGGCTTTCAGAGACCATTGCTACATGAGGCCTAAATCCGTCCCAGCTCCTGGGCCCAGCCATGCCCAACCCTACTCCATGGCTACGAAGACTGCAGTGGGCCAGGCCTGAGGTCAAAGGAGACAAATGGCCAAGATGCTTCTAGGGCAGGAGCTACAAAGTCAGCCCTGGGGGCCAGGCAACCACATACATGAGTGCAATGGGTCCATCTGGGCTAGACCTGAACCCCAAACTGCAAGTTTACACCCTCTGCCCTCAGGGCTCCCAGCGTTTGGAAAGAGGAGGTTTGGACACACAAAGTTGGAATGACATAGCACATGCTCAGCCTCATGAGAGGACTAATTTGCTAGGGGCAGGAGGCCTCACGGAGGAGGTAGAGCTTTAAGAAGCTTTGTTTGGGACCCAGCATGGAATCTGGTGTTCTGGTTGGAGTTTCTACACAATGGAATGGAAACAGCAAATCTCGGGGTCCTGAGGGGCTGGGCTCTGTGTGTTGGGGGTGCTGCTACAAGACTGGGCCTCATGGCTGCCTGAAGAAGTACCTGCTTTCCTTAGCCCCAGCTCTGGTTCCACAGACCATCGCACCAGCCATGGCTGTTCCTGGAGCCTGGCTCCCCAGAGCTCATCTCCCTACAGGGCTTATTCTAGAATGGCCTTTGGCCTCCCCAGGCACAGGCCCTGTCTCCTGGTTGGGGCTGTTTCCCAGGACAACCGTCCCTTTGGTGCCCATTAGCAGAGAAATGACACAATTAAGCAGGCAATTAACTCAACACTATGCAGTTGCTCCCTCCCACAGGGCCCTGTTTCCGGAAGCAGAGTTGGCAGCATGCTGGTTGCAGGGAAGGGATAGATGGTGCATCATGTGTGCCCGGCAGTGGGATGAGGGAAATGCTGACCCAGGATGGGTGCTGGCCAGGGAGAGGGGCAGAAGGCCTAGGGACTTCAAGTGCAACTCCCACACTGGCCCAGACCACCTGCCTGGGAGTTGGATTCGTACTTGTGGTCATTGGTTCCCGCCCCTTCAGAGGCCACTCAAAGGGACTGGAGCAGAGAATTGACCAAGACCGCTAAGGAAGGAGGAGTGTTTCATTCTGACTCCTCAGAGAATTCTGTTTGGGGGCCCTTTCTCCCATTTGTGAAATAGAGGTCATAGTTGCTATCCTTCCCAGGGATGTGGTGAGAATGAGTTAAGTCAGATGGAAAACTGAGCCTTACTGGGCCCTCGGAGCCTTCCCATCTAGGCTCCTGCCAGCAGGGCAGGGGTTCAAGAAGAGCAAGCCAGCTCCAGGCCCAGAGGTGGCCATTTACATCTGGGGACAGATGGACACAGATGAACTTTCAAGGCCAAATGCATGATACCAGGACCCAGTGTTTATTTTATCAAGTATACATCTCTGAAATTATAACCAAAACAAATAGGAAAACTGATAACTTTGGCAACCAACCTTTCAGAAGCAATTTTGCCCCACAGGTTACAGCTACCTTGATTATGGGCAATACTTTGCCTCAAGAACCCAATCAGAAAGAAATAGGAGTGTTTTTTAAGCTGCATTAAAAATATATATATATAAATATATATATATATATATATATATATATATATATATATAATTATTATTATTATTATTATTATTATTATTTTACAGAGAGGAAGGGAGAGAGATAGAGAGCTAGAAACGTCGATGAGAGAGAAACATCGACCAGCTGCCTCTTACACACCCCCTACTAGGGATGTGCCCGCAACCAAGGTACATGCCCTTGACTGGAATCGAATCCAGGACCTTTCAGTCCACAGACTGACACTCTACCACTGAGCCAAACCGGTTCCAGCAAGCTACATTTTTAAAAAAATATATTTTATTGATTTTTTACAGAGAGGAAGGGAGAGAGATAGAGAGAAATATTGATGAGAGAGAGTCATCGATCAGCTGCCTCTTGCACACCCCCTACTGGGGATATGCCCACAACCAAGGTACATCCCCTTGACTGGAATCGAACCCGGGACCTTTCAGTCCCCAAGCCTCTATCCATTGAGCCAAACCAGTTTTGGCTAAGCTGCATTTATTATATAGTCTCATGGGAAAATATATAAAATATAGCCTAGTTTAAGATTAGTGGGAGAATACCTCTGTGTTCTGCCCCTAGGTTCCTTCCACCCATCCCTCACGTTTCCTTCCAGGATGCCCTTGCGTGGCTGGCGTCTGCCATGTTCAGGGCAGCTGTGAGGCCCTGAGCAACACCCCCGCCGTTTCCAGTGGGGCTCAGGCCGTACCACATGGAGGCCAAGGACAGCATAATAGAAACGTTAGGGATGACAGACTTCCTCCTCCCCGTCCCAGACCCTGCCTATTTGGAAGTGAAAGGCTCTGCTGCCCTCTCCAGCGGCTGGTGTGCTGTGTTTCAGATGGATGGGCTGGAGGAGAAGCTGTTGCAATGTCGGAGGGACCTGGAGGCTGTGAACTCCAGGCTCGATGGGATGGAGCTGAGCCCAGAAGCCAGGTAATGCTCCTGCCCCACCTCCCGCCCTTCAGCCCCTCATACCTAACCTGGGCCCTGGCCTCTACCTGCCACAGAGGCCTTGGCCTTTGTCCAACTTGCCCTGGAATGCCAGCTGCCCCTCGGGTGGGAAGGAAAAGGGCTTGAGCCACAAAACTCTTTCCCCCTCACAGGAAGTCTCTGGAGAAGGAGAAAAACAGCCTGATGAACAGAGCCTCCAACTATGGTAAGAAAGTTCCCTTTCGTTACCAGCCCCGCCCTCTAGTCCCAGGGTCCAGAGAGACAGCCCAGGAGCCCACAAGGTGACAGGGATATAGGAACCCACTGTAAGCCCAGCAGCCTGGAAGAGCAGTCTGTTCCTTTGTTCCAAGGGAGAGGACTGTGGGTCTGTTCTTCCTGGAACAAAAGGGTATGACGGTAGCCAGGCCCAGAAGATTCTCACATCCATCCAGACTTGGGAGGGCTGTTCTCCTTGTCCCTCTCCCCAACCTCCCTGCCCCCCCCCCCCTCCCCAACCCTTTCCCAGGAAAACCCTGTGATGGGAGTCGGGGCCTTGGGGACCATGAAGGAGGATGAACTTGGGAGCCCTGAAGGGTTACTGGAGTGGAGCAATGCTGCCACCTTCTGGGTGCTGGGGGCACAGTCAGGTAGAACCCCGGCAGGGCACTGAGCTAGAGGGCAGCTGCTGGGCCCACCACCACCCCTTCGGCCACCCGCTCCTGCCTGCTGGGAGAAAGCTGATCTGCAGAGGCCCATCAAATGTATCTGTTCTATTCCCCGAGGGGCCAAACCTGGCCTAGAACCAGCCCAGAACAGTCCACGTGGCAGGGATCCTTCCAAAGGGACCGATTTTGAAGAAACACTTAAGTGTGTGCAGTGCATGTGCACACACCTCTACCTGAGCCTGGGCTGTCTGGCCTGCCCAGAGCTCATCTGTACCATCTCCCCACTCCCTCACACAGGCAGAGGCGGGACACCAGTGCCCCCCACCCTAGCAATTTTCACACACAATCGCAGCATCCCCACTGAGACGGTGTGGCTACAGAGTAGGATTGGCTTCTGCCAGAGGTGAGCCTGACGACCTCACGGCATGAACTGCCTCCTCTTCGTGTCCTTCATTCGTTGGCTGGGATCCAGCAGAGGGCACGAAGCCCACCCAGTGACAAGGGAGGATTCACCTGGTGATGCCATGCCACCATGTCACTGGCTTTTACGTGTGGCCTTTTGGTAACCCCTCACACACCCATCCTCAACTTCAACTGCATTTGGAGAGAAATGGTTGGTAGCATTGTGTTGGGACTTTTGGAGGCTGGGTGGGATCTGTAGCCAAAGGTTGAGAGGATTAAGGACAGAGTCCTTTTCGTGGATAAGGAAGTGGCTGGCAGGGAACACCTCGGTCCTCAGCAGTGTGTGTACCCACTTGTGGGAGAGGCAGCGGCAGCAGAGAATAGCAGATGGGCCTAACCTACCTGTCCAACACCATTTCCTCCAGAGAAGGAGCTCAAGCTGCTTCGGCAGGAGAACCGGAAGAACATGCTGCTCTCCGTGGCCATCTTCATCCTCCTATTCCTCCTCTACGCCTACTGGCCTCTGTGAGCCCGAGATTTCTCCGGTCAATAACCCGGCCGCAGCCAAGCAGGCCCTTCAGGCCTCAAGAGGACCAAGGTACAGGGGCATTTCTGCCCCATCAGACACTGAGCAGGGCTTCCTGTTGGCTCAGCCCCTCCTGCCTCCACTCCCGGTCTCCAGGACTGCCGGCTCCTCCCTTATCCCAAGGGAGAGGCAATAAAGAACACCCAGGCTGCTGTGTGCTGAGTAAATGTCACGTCTGACTGCAGCTGGGGGCGGGGGCGACACACAGGAACCAAGAAGAGATGTTCAAGGCAAAGAAGGCTCTTGGCTTAGAACTCAGAAGGGAGGCTGTAGGGAATAAGACAGCAGGCAGCCTCCCCAAGCCTGAACTACACTGAGACCCATTTCCAGGGCTTGGGCATCGTGCCCACCACCCCCACCGAACACGTTGTCGTGCCCTGCCTGCAACTATGGCAGGAAAAGGTAGCCTATGCAGCGAGGGCAACTGGGGACTTAAAGTGGTCGCTTGGCAGTCCTACAGAGGCAAGGAGTTAATCCGTCTTCAAGAGGCAGGCCAGGCTAGCGAGGTCTGGCGGAGTGAGTGGGCAACAAGAGCCATGGTAATGACCAGACTGACTTATGGCGACAGTGGGCAGTAAATCAGGCGGGTCTGCTGGGAAAAGCGGTAGAGGTGGGGCTGACAGGCTGGGGAGGCAGGAGCCGCAAACACAGACATCACACACAGCCTCTGAGCACATCGCCCAACCCTCCCGCCAGCACAGGCCCCGGGATGCTGTTGGGAGGCTCAAGCAAGGTCGACAGAACAGGGCAGCCAATAGGTGAAGGGCTTAGGAGCGAGAGCACCTCAATTAGGTGAGTAAAACATGGAAAGGAGTTGCCCTGGGAGCTCGGGAGGACGGTGAGGCCAGGGCGAAGGAGCCAGGTAAAGTGCAGGCAGGCTCTCGAGGAAACCAGCAGTGATGCGACAGGGGAAGGAACTAGCCTGGACCGGAGGGGGAGGTGCCCTCAGCACCTGCGTGTCTCCCACCCCAAGCACAGCCCCCAGTGCAGGCACAGGAAGGAGGGATGCTGGCTGGGAGTCAGCAGAACCACCTCTCCCTCCTCTGGCCTAGTGGTACTAATTGGTCTGACACCTCTGTTATTTTAGTCGCAGACTGATCCTGGATTGTCACAGTATCCCAGAGTGAGCTGTGTGATTTATGTGAGGGGGAAAAGCGCCTCCCTACCCTGCTGGGATGTAGGTTCATTCATCCTCCCATCCTGGCTTCCAACAGGAGCTGCATAATTTCCCGACTTCTTTGGGCCCCTCTCTGGCAGCAAGCAGCAGCTCTGGGCGCCCTGAGCTCTCTTCTCTCCTCTTCCTCCAGCACAGCTTCCCCTTCCCCTTCAGCCCAAGCTGTTTTATCCAAGCCAGTCCCAGACCAAACACCAGCGACAACCAGCAGCAGCCCCAGCACAGAGCCACACAGGCATTAAAAATATGTTTATCTTTAATGATCCAAGATTTTGCAAGACACACATATACCCAGAACTGGGTGGAAATACAACATTTTAGCAGTGCTGCTGCCAACCCAGGGGAGGGGGGAAAGCATGAGGGCTGGATGTTGGCTGGACATACCTCCACCACAAGGTGTAGCCAATTCAAACTTGACAGGGAGCCTCAGTGCCCTGTCTCCATGGAAACCAGTGTAGCACTGGGATGGGGCCCTGGGGAGCCTGTATGAGCATCTCTGGCAGGTATTTCCCATTAAAAACAACCCCCTGTGCCACCCCCACCCAAAGCTACTCCCCAGCTTCCTCTCTTCCCCCTCAGCCAACACCATAGAATGGCAAAAGTGATTGTACCCCCTCTGGGTAAGGAGGGGGAGGGTAGCAAGGTGGCTGTGGCAAACAAGGTACCCTCTTGCAGTGGGGACTGCTGCTGGGGCACAGAAAAAGGCAGGGCTTTGAGGGTGCTTCCTTCCCTTCTAAAGCTGCCCAAGATTTGGGTCAAAAGGGGGTGGGGCCTAGAAAGGCTCTGTTACCCCAGGAGGCAGTTACACCCACTTCCAAAGACAGCGCCTCCTGTGTCCTGGTGTGGTGTCAGGGACGGGGGCCACACCTCCCTTCCCGGCCTGCGGGACTGTCAGAGGTCCAGGCTGAGAATCCGGGGAAGACCAAGACAGGGTGAGGGAACAAGACAAGAAAATCTTCTCCAACTTGGCATCAAAACAGAGCAAGTTCAAAGAAACAAAACCTTGATTTGTACAGCAGGTACTCCTGGCCAGCTCCCAACAGGGGACTCACCCACTAAGGGTTGGCCCAGTAAAAAGTTGGGCAAAGCTAGGGCATGGCGACCTTCAGGACAGTCACAGAACTCAGAAAAGTGAGTCTACAGGATACAGGAGAACAGCAAAGCCAAAGCCCTGCTCTCTGACTCATCCTCCGCAGCCCCGTGTGCCCAGGGCCTGACCGCACACCACGTGGGAGCAGCGTCTTTCAGGCCGAGTCCGGCAGGGGAGGCAGGTCTCCGGGGAGGGAAGTCTAAAAGATGTCCCAAAAGGAACATGTGCGTGTCCTCTGACGGCCCCTGACAGCTCTTCAGGGGAGATGGAGAGGAGACCATCCACCCATCCTGGCCAGGCTGTGGTCCCCTGTCCTTTTCGAGAGGGGCCCAGGTAGGGCACCCTAACTCTGAACAGCAGGGCCGTCAGTAGCAGTGGGCGTCCCCGGGCCCTCAGGCGCTGTGCGTCTGGATGAAGGTGAGGACTTCCTCCTTGGATAGCTTGTCCGGGTCCTGGGGCTTCTGGGAGTCATGTACACGGATGCCATCCCCCCATTCCCAGAAGAGCCGGCCATAGTAGCAGATGCTGGGGAGGAAGGAAGTCAGAAGGCTGTACCCAGAGATCAGGACCAAGAGATTACCACCCACCTCTGGCAACTGGTTTAGGGGCAGAGTATTCTTAAGTGGAGAGGTCCCGACCCAGGACCCCAACCATCACTATCAATGATGCCACTTGAGGGTCTTCCCTCTGGCAGCCAAAACCCCAGGAGGCTCCCACTCCTCCTCGCTTCCTAGGAAACCTCCTTTTCCCAATGAAGGGCTGCTGCTGCTGTTTACACCCATCAGAATGGCTGTTGAAACCTATAATCAACAATCTGGCAAATGGACACTGGGTCCTGACTAGGACATTTGGGACCCTAAGTTACTAGAGGCGTGTTCGCACCACCAGGACAGTGTCAGCCAGTTAGGGAACAGTGGCTGCTCCATGGGCCAGGTGCCCTAAGTGGGATCCTTCCCGGAACCCAGGACCCCCCATCCAGCAGGTCCTGGGATTCCTCTCTGAGCTTACTGCCCAGACCCAGCCACTCCCTGTAGGGAGGAGTCTGGCCCTTGCTCAGGGGATCCCCTGCATGGGCAGCAATTGATCCCAGAACCTGGGCTAAGCCTCAAAGGACTGGCTAGCATCCTGGAAGGAGTGCAGGGGGCTGCTGAGGGGCAGGTTACTTACTGAAATGGGGCAATGGCTTCTGCAGGGAGCTCATAGGTAGAGTCCTTGGTTTTCTTATTGTAGAAGAACTTCCTCTTAGAGCTTTTGCTGAATGCCATCGTCCAGGGCTCTGAGGAGGAAGAGGAAGAGCCCAGGAAGGGCACAGTAACCCAGGGGAATAAGGCAAGCCAAGTCAGGGTGTGCCCGCCTTCATCTGTTCTTCCTTCCCTCCAAAGTGCAGGCAGGGAACAGCCTGTGAGGATGCAGCCTTCGTCTCCAGCCCAAAGGGCTTCAGAGGACTGAGATTTAACAGCCCAACCCAGACCTGCTAACCTGCAGCAGGCAACATCTGTGGGACCCCGGCAGAGGGCCCTGAAGAAGGGGGTTCTACAGGGCACGCAAATGGCCAAGCCGGACTTTCTGGATCTGCTGCGGCCCTCCGAGAACACCCTCTTCCTGCCGTGAGGACACCATGTGAATATACAATTTGGGCTCCTCTCTTTCCAACCCAAACCTAACCCCCAGGACCCACTGCAGGACAGAAGAGGCTCAGGGCACACAATCTCCCCCACATCCCCCCAATGCACCTCAAAGAAATGCCAGCCTGGATGCTACCCACATTCGTAGGGAACCCCTAGCTCTGGTGTAGGCAGGATCTGGGCCAATCACCCTGAGGGAGGCAGGGACAGGGAACAGTCGCTCATCACCCACCATTCACTGTCCTGACGATGTAGAGGCCAGTGGGCACAAAGTGCCGGTCGTCCCGCCCTGTGTAGCTGAGTCTTGGGGTGCCGCTGGAGCCCTTGATGATCTTCATCTCCAACCTGGTTTCCCAAGCAGGCATGTGAGCAGGAAGTGGGGAGTGTGCATGAGAGAGAGGAAGCCCTAGCGATAGTCTCTTGCTATCATCAAAATCACACCAACCACAATAGTTCATCTCAGTTCAACCAGGAAACGGAGGCAGAGACATGAGTGAACTGCTCCAAGTCCCACCACAGGTGAGTCCAGTGCTGGGTTCAGAGCTCAGTCTTAGGTACTGAACTCCCAACTAGGCAAAGGCAGGGAGTGACAGTCGCCCTAATAGACTGTAGTTGAAGAGTTTCAGGGTGACACCAGTAAGAATAAGCTCTGACACCCCGGTTACCACTGGGTCTACTGACTACCACCCATAACTTCCCTGTGATCACTGTGGCCAGTGAAGAGTTAACACAAGGGCACCAAGCCGAGGGGGATAGAGCAGGCGCACACCCAGGAAGAGACCCACAGGTCTGAGCTCCTTCCCCCCTCACACCCGCCCCGCAACTAAAAAAATCCAAGGAAGCAGTTATGGCCGCTCCCCTCCAGGCTCAGTCTCTCTGTCAGCACCAGGAGCTGGGATTTATGGTGTTTCAAGCAGCTTGCTGCTCTGCCCTCACAGGGACAATCGTAACTATTACAGCATCAATGAGCCCATATTTCTGCCTGACACACACCCGCGGCTCCCCTCCTGACAGGGTGCTGAATCAGCTCTCAGCCGGGCTCCTGGCTGCAGTGGAGCCACGCTGCCCGGAGGCAGGCTGCCAGGGCCAACTCACCACCCACCCGATCCCCACAAAAGACAGCAAATCCTGGCCACTGCTATGCGCCCACCTCAATCCTCAAATCCTGAACCACCCTGGTTGAGGCACTCACCTGACAAAAATCTTCTCCATTTCCTCCAGTCGGTACACCTCCTTCACCCTGGGGTAGAGGGATGGAGAGAGGATAAAGGCTTCCTGGGGGGGCATTCTTGTCCAGCAGCAGATCATAGGCAGGAGGCTGTGCCTGTCCTTGCCCTCTGCCTCAGGCCCTGCACCCCCCAACCCTTCAAGGTATCACACACACACACACACACACACACCCAGCAGAGTGACACTGCTATCCTACAGACAAACCCTAGCTTTCAAGGCATCCTCTCAGGCCCACCCCAGGGCAACTGGGGAGTGCAGCTACGGTTATGGAAGGCGGGAAGGAGTGGAAGGGGCAAGAGGTCTCTGCCCGCATCCCACCCCAGTTGATCATAACCGTTACAGAGGCTAGACACCAAGGCAGAGGCGCTCGCCCACGTCTCACCACTTGGGACTTAGGCCCTCCTGTGGCAGTTATTTCCAAATAGTCCTAACAGGCCTGTTACATCGGGGACGGGGGGACTCCTACCCAGGGTGCAGGACTCCCGTTTGATGCCCAGCTCTCCATCTCTGGGGACCCTTGAACACACCCTGGGAACAGTCCCCAGAGACCCAGCAACCAGGCCACAAGCAGAGAGGGAGGGTCCCTGGGAGCTGCCCCTCCGGACCAGGCAGACAGGACGGTGCAAGCACAGAAAGAAGTGCTTTTGGACTTTCAGAGGGTATCTAGAAAGAGCATTCTCGGTGCTGGATTTAATTTTAGGTAAATTCTTATTAAAAATAATGATTTTGATAAAAGTACAAACAGGCATCTCAGTTTCCAGTCAGATGAAGTCCCAGAGGTAACAACTTCAGACGCTGGCCCCGCAATGAAAAGCCAGTCTCCATCGTCTGCTCCCTGACTGCCCCATCCGCCTCTGGACCCTGGGACTCTCACACGACCTAACAAGGCAGCACCCCTGGCTTCTTCCCAAGCAGTAAGGTCCTGCTCCTTCAAACCATCCTTCTCTTTTTTAAGTTCAAAACTGCCACTCCTTCTGGACCCTTTTCTCACTGGGAAAGAATGAAAAGGCCAGGTGACATGCTAATGCTACTCAAGTGTGAATGCGTGACTCTCAGAGGTGTGAGCTCTCCGCAGCAGGAGCATCTAAAATGAGGACATGACTCTTTTGGAGGTTCACTCGCTGTGACAGGTAGGATGGGGTGAAGGAGCCACTTATCTAGCACCCCCAAACAAAGCACTCACCAAGGGCACTAACCTTGCCTGGTCCCCTCCACTGGGCCTTCCCACCCCCTACAGGACAGGGAAGGAGCAATGGCCAGAAAGAAGCAGTAAGGAAGAGGTTTGGGGAGGAGGGAGTCATGCTTACCTGATGGGATTCATGTCAGGCCGACTAGGCTTGGAAACGGCTTTCACAAATTTCTCAGCAAGCTGAATTCTACAAACCAAACCACCACTCAGACACAAGCCAGGTGCCTACGGCCGGACCCCACCCCAGGGCATTTTCACGGCACCAGTGGATGGAGAACACTCTGAATCCGCAGCAAACTGCTCCAACAGGCCGTTCTCATGTCCCCTAGGAACTTGCCCTGCCCTGTCCACTAACGTCTGTCTGCACGCCCTCTCCCTCTCTGGATTCTGAGCTCTCATCTCACTACAGCTTGGTTGGTTCCCTGAAGTGTGTCTTCAGCTGCGCTCAGGCACCGCCTCCACAACCTCTATGTCATCTGAACTGAACATGTCCTTTCTATCACCCCAACCACAACTGCCAGGTGAAACAACTCAGGAGTGACATCAGCATCCTGGTGCAAGACCTTTTTGTCCTTTGTCGCTCCTTTTTGTCCCTCCCTCCTTTCCAGAAAAAGTGCTTCTGAAGTTGTGGGCTCATCAGGCATAAGACATGTTCTTCAGAGAAAACCCTTCTCCCCATAAGGTCACCCTCTTGTTCAACCTGAACACAATATCTCCTGTGATCTGAACAGCTGTAGCAAAACAGGAGTGTGTGTATCTGTGAGCAGCAAGGCCCAAGCCCTAGCAAACTCTGAAGTGCCGGCACCATTTCTCACCCTGCCCTTGGAACCAGCCCACGGGTGGAAGAAGGGAACTCTAAGGATGCCCTTAAGCAGAGAAGGCCTGGTGAGGGGCCGAGGCCTGGAGACTGCTGTCACAGAGGTGCCCCGGCCCACCCCACCCAGGGCCCAGGTCAGACCGTTGGTTAAAGTGCTGCTCCCGCACGTCGCTGCCATTCAGCACAAGGACATCGAGGATGTGGATGGCACTGATCTTCCGCTGGGCCTTCCCCTGGAAAGACAAGTACACTGCCCACCTTGCCAGGCACCCACTCCACCCACCACTGGGCTTACAGCCGGGGAGGGGAAGGGAAGGGAAGGGTGCCAAACGCAGGGCATTTCTTTTGCCTCCCTCCCAGATGATTCTCAGCCCAGACTGGCTGGACTCCTGAGCACACAGAGAGCTGAGGCTCAATCCAGTGAGGCTGCCACCATGGTGCTCCACCATTGTCAACCACTTCCACGACTGTCCTGAAAGTGACCCATATGCTGTAACATCCAAAGCTCATGGGAAAGTTGCTTCTTTCCAAAGTGTTCCCTGGTTAAAACTAAATCAGCAGCTAAAAAATACCCAGCAGGCCTCCTTCACATGTGGAGACTGCGGTTCTTCCTACCTGAACATACCATGCCCACTGCTTCAGGGGAGGGATAGTCACCAGCCTCCCCGGCCCTGGGTGGGACAGCCAAGCACCCCAGACACTATAACCTCGCTAACTGGGGAGAAAGGCCAGGCTCAGCTGTGCCCCAGTTCCCAGCGGGCAGGGCCAGGACACATGAGCAGAACCACCTCTGACCTCCCCTTTCAGCTCATGGACAATCTCCACAGAGAGCAGAGTGTCCCGGGGCAGCTCTGTCTTCAGGTCCAGCTTGACCCAGCGGTCTGACTGGCGGCCATCCCACGTGTAGATCTGTGACTTCTGCGAGGGGAGAAAAAGGGCTGGGTCAGGCATGGAAATGGAGGGGGGAGAGGATCAGTTCGAAAGGGCTTTTGGTTGGTGGCTACAGCTGACGTCAGAAGAAAATGTCTAGATCAGTGGGTTATACTTCAGTGATAAGACACTGTGTCCTCCACAGACTCAGCAGAGAGAAGTAGAGATTGGCTCAGTCCTGGTGTAGGGAACAGACCCAGGGCACCATTCAAAAGGCCTAAGTCCATGATTAGTGGCCCTGAAGGAAGATCTGGCTTAGTGTATATGTCTGAGGTGGGTTTGATAAAGGGTCCAGACAGCAGAGGGGAGAAAATAAAGTAACAGAAAAAAAGGTAAAGTATGAGAGGACGTAGAGAAAGTGAGGGAGAAGAGAAAATTATATAGAAAGACAAGTCAGAATGGAAAGAAAGCAATGATGAGTTGATCCAATCAAGTAACATACAGAACTGCCAAAGAGTCCCCTCAGCTCACTTAGATTTCCCTTGCTCACACCTGAGGGAAATCTAAGGTCCTAGGTAAGTCCAGGTAGTGTCTTTGCAAGAAGGGATGACATGAGGGATGGTGGTGTTGCAAAGAAACAACTACATAGCCCTGGCCAGTTTGGCTCAATGGATAAAGCATTGGCCCATGGACTGAAGGGTCCTGGGTTCAATTCCAGTCAAGGTCACATACCGTGGTTGTAGGCTCTATCCCCGGCCCTGGTCAGGATTTGCAGAAGGCAAACAATGTGTCTCTCTCTTATGGATGTTACTCTGTGTTTCCCTCTCCCTCCCTCTCTCTCTAAAAATCAATGGAAAAATATCCTCAGGTGAAGATGAACACAAAAAAAGAAAGAACTACATAGGCTCAAGCCAGATGGGCCCGCTGACCATCCTACTAGCTTAGGAAGCTCCATATAACAAGGAAAGAGGCAGCATCCCATTAGCAATGCAAATATGAATAAGCAAATACATAAATAAGTGAAAGAATGAATGAAAACGGCTAACTCGGGGGAAAAAGTGAAGTTTCTTGAACTAGCTTCCCTTGGTCAGAGAATATGCACTGAGTGGCAGGCAGCTGTCCAGATTCCCAGAGGCAAGTCCCTGCCCTGGCTGGGCAGGAAGCCCGCTGCACTTACCCCCAGGCCCAGGAGGAACTTCTGCTCACTGCCAGACACCATGCAGCGGTAGTCGAGCACTGGGCGGATCTTCTCCAAGGTTTTGGAGGTGAGCAGCGTGGGCTTATAGCTGAAGATGTCGATCTCAGTGCCCTGCAGCCCCGGGTCAGAGAAAACACGGCTGGGTTGGGGGAAGGGACAGGCGCTCAGTATGGGTGTGGGTGCCTACACAGGAGTGGGGCAGGCCGGGAGAGGTGAGGGACGGGAAGCACATGCTCCTGAAACACCCCCTGCACCCCAGCTCTCCCTGACCAAGCACTAACTCCGGTTAATTCCACCGGCCTTTAGTGTTCCTTTAGGACCGATTAGGGGAGGCTGGGAGAGGAAACCATACCGAGACTCCAAGTACAGATCGATTTACCTGAGCTCTAAGGAAATGTCACCAGGATATAAAAGTCACGCTTTCAATAAAGCTGAAGGCAAGGACTTGCCAGCATTCAATTTGAGAGCAAATAAGTGATCTCTCCGGCCCATTCAGAAAAAGAGACACATGCTATTCTTTTGAGGCCATCTTCAACCTCATTCTCAAAACCAGCACAGTGGCCCATGACCTGGCCAGATTCAAATGAAACCCAGGGAAAAGCTGGAATGTGGGCGATAGAAAAAAAAAAAAAAAAAAAAAAAAAAAAAAAAAGAGGCAGAATTCCAAGGACCAGGTCATCAAAAACAGGACAGGGAGCCAAAACCGGTTTGGTTCAGTGGACAGAGTGTCGACCTGCGGACTGAAAGGTCTCAGGTTCGATTTCTGTCAAGGGCATGTACCTTGGTTTCAGGCACATCCCCAGTGGGGGATGCGCAGGAGGCAGCTGGTCAATGTTTCTCTCTCATTGATGTTTCTAGCTCTCTATCCCTCTCCCTTCCTCTCTGTAAAAAAATCAATAAAATATATTTTTTTAAAAACAGGACAGGGAGCCTAGGGTTGGGCCAGACCCATTACGGAGCTCTCCTGGCAGCCCCTCTCAGCCCCCTGCCCAGCTCCCCTGCCCCAATTCAACCCATAATTCATTTCTCCTCTGCAGGCAAATCTCACGGCACCCTATACTTGCAGGCGAGAATGCTGAGCACAACATATTGTAGGAATAAGAATCTTCAGGGAGCCTGATGGGCTCTCAGGGACTCAACACCCTACACCCCAGGTTCCCACTCAGCCCAGCCCTCTGGGATCTCAGTGAGACCGCCGACATCTAGAATCAGGCCTCTGACTTTATTTTCATCGGACACTCAACTTACCTGGATCAGCTCAAAGAACTTAGACTTCGGGTCTGAGGAGGAAGGAGCCACACGAGCCTGGTCCGGGATCTGAAAATAGGCAGCAGAGCGCTTTGGTTTTCAAACGCACTTTTGACCAAACCTTTAGTCTACGTGAGCAAGGGTAGGTCAGACTAGGGCAGAGGAAACGGCATGTAGCACGGGAGCTAGGAAGAAGGGGTGGAGGTGGGTAATGCAGTCACTGCCTCCTTTCAGGCCCTGTGGCAGCCCAGCCCACGTGCCACTTCCCTCTCTCTGGGGCTGTCAATGGTCAGGGCTGCTACACAGGATCACCAGCAGCAAAATGAGGCCTGCTCACACACCACCTTTGTCCTTTGTGACCCAGCTGTAGGGCCCATCTGGCAGAAAAGAACCAAGGAGGTAACGCCCAGCAATGCTGGGACTTCCAACTCTGGAATGCTGTGAGGGTAGGCAGACATTTTCATGGGCGATTGGGAATCAAACCTATTCTTTATAGCTTCCCTGCCCTGGAGCAACAACGGACTGAGGTCAAGATGCTCACCCCCCAAAGACGGAGGCACTGTTTCCGGATCTCTGCCTGCCGAGGCTCACTCAGGGTCCTGGGAAAATGAAGCCAGCAAGTGATTGGAGACTTCATGAGGTACAAGTGGACCTCCTGTGCGCCCCTCAGAAGCCCAGAGAGGAAGCCCAGAAATGAACGTGTGCACACGCCCGGAGGCCACGGAGCCATTAGCCCAAAGCGCTTATCACACTCACACAAAATGGGACGACCTCCCCTTAACACCACAAAGGGAAAGGAGGCGGCTACCTGACCTGTGGATGCCAGGGTTCCTCACACAGCCTTCCTCCAGTGACCCAGCGCTACATCTGGCTCCTGCTCTGCGGCATAGGCCAGTGAGTCCATCCCAGTGGACATCAGTAGGCCTCAGAAAGCTGAATTAGCTTATGCTTGGCCCTGTCAGAGGTCTTCCCTGACCAGCCCTACCTTTCCCCTCTGACCACTCTTTATGCTGGGTCTCCTGAGTTATGTATTCTACGCCCTCTGATCCACTGCTAATAACTTCTCCTGCATCCTTTTCCTAGGATCCGCTCACCTTCTCAAAGACATCATAAAGTCTCTGAGGACAAGCTTCATGCCATATGCTTCTCTGGCACCCTTCACAGACCACAGCAGAGTAGGAGATAAAAGAGTACATATTTTTAAATGTTTGTTGAAATGAAATAAGCAAAGAACGCACGGGGAGGAGCAAAACCAAGAGCTTTTCCCTTGAAGTAGATGAATCCTGTAAAGGGGGAAAACTCACGTGTCTTGAACAAAGGCATGGATTTTGGCCAGAGCTTTGATCTGCAGACTACAGTGGCTAAAAGAAAAAAGAAAAAAAAGAAAAAAAAAAAGTTTTGATCTCAGAAGGATTACCAAGAGATAGCCAGAAGACATCAGGACAGAGAAGTTTAGCAGGAGCATGGACCATCTATATTTGGGGGAGGACTGGAGAGTTAAAGAGAACCCCCTCAACCACACGCCAAAATATGGGAGCAATGAGTCAAACCCCTCATATATTCAAGTCCTGCTAAAAGCAAGGTTTTGATCCCATCTGTACTAACGTGAAAGTGGTGATTCTAAATAAAACAACAAAGTCCAGACCCAGTTTACAGACTAAACTGACTCAACCCACCTATACTAACAGCTGCCCTTTCTACTCTAATGTCCATTGTTCTTTTACATACACTTTCTGACATTTAAAGAAAAGTATGAGATGTGATAAAACAAGAAAGTGTGACCCACTGGCAAAAGGGAAACATCTCAAAGACCCAGAGATGGTTCAAATGGTAAAATTACTAGACAGGGCCTTTAAAATAACTGAAAAACTTGTTAAAAGGTCTACTGGAAGGGTGGGATGGGAACTGGGTGGAGGGAGCTATGGGAGGAAAAAGGAGAAACAACTGTAATAATCTGAACAATAAAGATTTATTAAATGTAAAAATAAATAAACCAATACATTTTCATTTTTATTTTTTTTAAAAAGATCTACTGGAAAAGGTGTATATATTAATAAGAATATGGAAAATATCAACAGAAATATAAAAACTATATTTTTAAAAAGCAAATAAGGCCTGGCCAGGTTGCTTAGTTAGTTGGAGCGTTGTCCCATACATTGAAAGGTTGCGGGGTCAATTCCAGGTCAGAGCACATACTCAGATTGTGGATTCGATGCCCAATGGGGGAACATACCGAAGGCAACTAATTGATGTTTCTCTTTTTCTCTCTCTCTCTCTCTTTCTTCCTTCCTCTCTCTCTAAAAATCAATAAACATAACCTTGAGTCAGGATATAAAGAAAAGCAAAAAAATAATAGACATAAAATATATATTAGAGATAAAGAATGATTTTGATGGGCTCATCAGCAGACTGAATACTGTAGAGGAAAGAATCAGTGAACATGAGGGAAGACAGAAACTCAAACTGAAACATAAAGAGGTAAAAAGTGAAAACTATAATAGCTCTGTGGACAAAAACAAGCAATTTAACATAAATATTAACTGAAATCTCAGAGCAGAGGAAAGAAGTAATAGGACAAAAATATTAACAAGTTAATAGCTAAGAATTTTTCCAAATCAATTAATGAAATCAATCTATAGATCCAAGGTTAAAAAATCCTAAGCAGAATCCATACAAAAAACATACAACACATGTAATCACATCATGGTCAACATGCTGGAAACAAAGGTCATCATGAATGCAATCAGAAAAGAAAAGACACATGACATACAGGCAAGCAATGGTATTAATAATGGCTGACTTCTCATCAGAAAACAAGGAAGCCGAAGCCAGTTTGGCTCAGTGGTAGAGCGTCGGTCTGCGGACTGAAAGGTCCCAGGTTCGATCCCAGTCAAGAGAATGTATGTTGGTTGCAGGCACATCCCCGGTGGGGGGTGTGCAGGAGGCAGCTGGTCGATGTTTCTCTCTCATCGACATTTCTAGCTCTCTATCTCTCTCCCTTCCTCTCTGTAAAAAATCAATAAAATATATTTTTTTAAAAAGAAAACAAGGAAAGCAGAGAACAATATCTTTAAAGTGCTAGGGGAAAACACTGCCAACTTTGAAATCTGTATCTAATGAAAATATCCTCGAAAAGTGAAATCAAACATTATCAAAAGACAAAAGCTGAAGAAATTAAGTCTCCAGTTGACTTGTTCTACAAAAAACAGACTAAAAGGCTCCTTTCCAGCCCTGCCTGGGCCCTGGTCAGGGTGCATATGTTTCTCTCACATTGATGTTTCTCTCTGTCTTTCCCTCTCTCTAAAAAAATATACGGACAAATATCTGCGGGTGAGGATTAACAACAACAATACAAAAAAAAAAAAATAGACTAAAAGAAATTCTTTAGGGAGAAAGAAAATTATTCCAAATAGGAAGCTGGTTCTGCAGAAAGGAATGAAGAACACCAGAATGGGTAAATTTATCAGTAAATATCAAGGAACCTTTATAAATAATTAGATGCACAAATATAAGAGCTGTATATATCTTTAAATCTCTTTAAAAGATTATATACTGTTTAAAATAAAAATAATGGCAATGTAAAATATGGTTTTCTATAAAACAAAAGCACAAAGGAAGGAAAACTATAAATGCATGTTTACTGTGTATGGTTCTTACATCGTTCATGAAGCAGAATACTTTTTGAAGATAAAGTACAATAAATTAAAGATGCACATTGTAATCTCTAGAGTTAACTAAAACATTATGTACAAAAGGCATAGAAAAATCCAGGGATAAAAAGAAATACTACAAAAATATACCTAATTCACTTCCCCCAAAAAGAAGGAACACAGAAACAAGTAAAAGGCAGGATGAACAGAAATCAAACAACCAAGACAGAGGTTTAAACCCAAACTTAGCAACAATTACAGTCCTTGAAAATGTACTAAACACCCCATTTAAAAGTTAGAGACTGTCACAATGGATAAAAAGGTAAGACTCAACCATATGCTATTTATAAACACAAAGACAAATTGAAAATAAAAGAACATAAAAAGATAAACCATGCAAATACTAAGCAAAAGAAAGGTGATGTGGCTATATTGATATCACAAAGTAGATTTTAAAACAAAGAGTATACACTACAAATAAAGAAGGATATTTTATTATTAAGACAAAATAATCTTAAATGTGCATGTGCCTACTAATAACAAAAATCCCAAATATATGAAGCAAAAACTAACAAAACTAAAGAATAGACAAATCAAAATTGAACAATCATAACTAAAGATTTTAACAGCCCTCCTTAAGCTATTGACGGAATAAGAAATCGAATATCAGTTAAGATGCAGAAGATTTGAAAATCACTATGAACCAACTCGACCAAATTAACATTCATAGAACACTATACTCAACAACAGCAGATGGAATATTTATCAAGATAGATCATATGATAGGCCATAAAAAAAGCCTCAATAAATTTCAAAGGATGAAAATCATATAGAGTATATTTTGAGTACAGTGGGACAAAATCTAATAGGTATCTTGGAAATCCCAAAATATCTAGGCTGTTTCCAAATCCTAGCTATTGTAAATTGTGCTGTTATGAACATAGGGGTACATATATCCTTTCTGATTGGTGTTTCTAGTTTCTTGGGATATATTCCTAGGAGTGGGATTACTGGATCAAATGGGAATTCCATTTTCAGTTTTTTGAGGAAGCTCCAAACTGTTCTCCACAGTGATTCTACTAGTCTACATTCCCACCAGCAGTGCACAAGGGTTCCTTTTTCTCCACAACCTCGCCAACACTTGTCGTTTGTTGATTTGTTGATGTTGGCCATTCTGACAGGTGTGAGATGGTACCGCATTGTTGTTTTGATTTGCATCTCTCAGATAATTAGTGACTTTGAGCATGTTTTCATGTGCCTCTTGGCCTTCCTTCTGTCTTCTTTTGAGAAGATTCTATTTAGATCCATTGCCCATTTTTTAATTGGGTCATTTATCTTCCTTTTATTAAGTTGTATAAACTGTCTGGAGATGTTGGAGATTAAACCTTTATCAGTGATAACATTTGCAAATATGTTCCCCCATATAGTGGGCTTTCTTGTTGTTTTGTTGATGGTTTCTTTTGCTGTAAAAAAAGCTTTTTATTTTGATGTAGTCCCATTTGTTTATTTTCTCTTTAGCTTCCATTGCCCTACGGGCAGTATCAGTGAAGAAGTTCTTTTGGCATATGTCTGAGATTTTGCTGCCTGTGGATGCCTCTAGTATTTTTATGGTTTCCCATCTTATGTTTAAGTCCTGTATCCATTTTGAATTTATTTTTGTGTATGATGTAAGTTGGTGATCTAGTTTCATTCTTTTGCATGTATCTGTCCAATTTTCCCAACACCATTTATTGAAGAGACTGTCTTGATTCGATTGTATGTTTGTGCCTCCTTTGTCAAATATTAATTGAACATAGTAATTTGGGTTGATATCTGGATTCTCTATTCTATTCCATTGATCTATATGTCTGTTTTTGTGCCAGTATCAGGCTCTTTTGAGAACAGTGGCTTTTAATACAGCTTGAAATCTGGTATTGAGATCCCTCCTACTTTACTCTTCTTTCTCAGGATTGCTGTGAGTATTTGGGGTCTTTTATTGTTCCAAATGAACTTTTGGAGAGTTCTTTCTAGGTCAGTGAAATATGCCGTTGATATTTTAATGGGGAGTGCATTGAACCTATAGATTGCTTTGGGAAGTATGGACATTTTAATGATGTTGATTCTATCAATCCATGAACATGGTATGTTCTTCCATCTGTTTACATCTTTTTCTATCTCTTTTTTTTCAGTGTCGTATAATTTTCCACGTATAGAAGGTCTTTTACCTTCTTAGTTAAGTTTATTCCTAGGTATCTTAATTTTTTTGGTGCAATGGTAAATGGGATTGCCTTTTTAGTCTCTGTTTCTGCAAGTTCACTATTGGTGTATAGAAATGCCATAGATTTCTTGGCGTTAATTTTGTATCCTGCTACATTTCCAAATTCATTTATTAAGCCAATTAGTTTTTTGATGGAGTCTTTTGGGTTTTTTATGTACAATATCATGTCATCTGCAAATAAGGATAACTACTACTTCTTTTCCAATTTGGATGCCTTTTATTTATCTTCTTGTCTAATTGCAATAGCTAGTACTTCCAGTACTGTGTCAAACAGGAGTGGTGAGGGTGGACATCTCTGTCTTGTTCCTGTTAATATGGTTACATTTAAATGCTACATCTAAGTGATTAATTAAAATAAATAAATTCCTTTATTCTTAATTTTTGGGCTTAATTTGCTCTTCTTTTTCTTTTAATATATTTATGTATTAATAATAGTATAAAGGGAAATTTATTTCATTTAAATATATAAGTATATTTAAACCAATAAGAACATCAAAAGAATACATATTTAGAGACTAATATCCCTTATAAACATAGACACAAAAATCATTAATAAAAATTAGTAAGTCAAATGTAGCATTATATGAATGATAACTCATCACCAACTCGAGTTTATCCAAAAATGCAAGATTTGGCCTGGCCAGTGTGGCTCAGTGGTTGAGCGTCAACCTACGAACCAGGAAGTCACGATTCGATTCACAGTCAGGCCATATGCTCAGGCTGCAGGCTCGATCCCCAGAGTGGGGCGTGCAGAAAGAAGCTGACCAATGATGCTATCTCATCATTGATGCTTCCATCTCTCTCCCGCTCCCTTCCTCTCTGAAATCAATAAGAATATATTTTAAAAATAAAATAAAGTAAATGCAAGATTTATTTGCCATCTGAAAATCATCAATGTAATTCACTGTAAATGAAATTTTAAAAATTTCTATAGATACATAAAAAGTATCTGATAAAATTAAACATCTATTCATGATTAAAAACGTCAGCAAACAAAGAATAGAAGAAAATTTGGTCAAACTGATAAAAGGCAACTGCAAAAAACCTACAGCTAATATCATACTTAACGGTTAAACATTTTACACTTAAACTCAAGAACAAGGGTAGGATATCTGTCCTCATCCTTTATCATCATACTGGAGGAACCAGTAAGTGCAATGAGGCAAGAAAAGAACAGAATTACCATTAAGATCCAGCAATTCCACTTTTGGTATTTCTCCAAAAGAACTAATATCAGGATATTGGTATCAGCACCCCATGTTCACTGTAGCACTATTCACAATAGCCAAGATGTGGAAACAATCTAAATGTCCATTACGGATAAATGGGTAAAATTTCCTTATTTGCCCTCCCCCCAAGAAAGTACTTCTACTGACTCATTGCTGCTATATAACTCTCCAAACTACTTAAAAAAAACTTCTAATGCTTGCCCACCTAGAAAACTGAGCCAACTGTCACAACCTTATATCATTACCACTACTAAGGAAGGAAAATAATCAAACAAGGTTAAAAACAAAAAAATGCCAGCATTCAGATCACCTATCTGGAGAATTTATGAACTCTCAAAAACTTTGGTACAGAACCTCCAAAGCATGTTGTATTTTACGTTCCAGCTACTTCCTGCCTCCAAACAGAGGCTTCACAAGACAGTAGCCATGATGGCCTCTTACAGAAGCAATTACAGGGAAATTACTCCTGTCTCTGGGGCACAGAGCTGCTCTCTGTTAGATTTCACTACCATAACATCAGGCTCCCAGGGGCATGGCTATGGCAGCCCGGCTCCCACCAGCCACCCTCTGACAGGCATGGGAGCAGGATGAGTGTCCCCAAGGTGTGCTTACGTCCCAGGGAGCCTGGAACAAGCAGATCAATCCCAGTTACCAATTTTTCAGGGTTGACAAATGATACCAAGAGCAAATCATTTTAGTCCTTCACTCTCTGCCCTTCCTAATGGTGCCAGCAAAAAACACCTGGTTTTGGTGGAAGGGGGAAGAAATGAGGAACCTCTGTAATAATATGAACAATAAAGATTGATTTTAAAAAAACACACACACAAAAAACACCTGATTTGCTTACCTCTCATTGGACCGTATCATGTAGTCGGTGAATTCAGGGTCTCCCTTGATCACCTCCAAGGGAACCACAATGTTGACATCGGACTCGGTGTTCCGCAGCTGGTTGAGTTTAATGTTGATTGAGAAGAGGTACTCCCGCACGTCATCTATGCCCACCTTCAGGCCCTTGCACACCACATACCTGGCAGGAGAAACCCTGTCACTCCATGGAGCAAGGGCCTCCCTGCCAGTATTCCTCCTCTCCAAGCCCCTGGCTGAGTCATGAAGCTCAACAGCCTTAAGTCTATGCACAAAGAACAGCACAGACTGTGCTGCAAAAGTTCACCTCAAATTCTCAGTGGTTCCCAATTGCCCTCTGCCAGGCTGAAGGGGTCTAATTTAACAGACTCAACGATTAGACTCTCCAAAATGGGGCGCAGAAAGCTCGTGTTTTTAACAAGACACCAGCAATTCAGATCGGCCACATCTCCCATGTTGTGCATGGGCATGTGTCCTACCTGGGATGCCAACAGTGCCCTGGCTGGTGCCCCCTGCCCTGACCAACCCATGTCTCTCCAGGTTTCCCTTCTACTGACCACCTTCTCCTTCCTGGGCAAGCCAAGGATCCTTCACATAAGTGTAGTGAACAGGCTTGTGGAGAAGAAGGCAGAGGCTGACTGGCAAATCACAGGACCAGTAAGATCCAAATCCTGACCTCACCCACCCCTTGGCTCTTATCACTTCTTTAAAGTCAAGGCTTTTAATGTAGGCTGAGTGGCCATACCAGAGAGATGTATCAGGTACTGCGTTCTGACATTTAGCCAACTAGTCTGATGAAAATGGAAAGGAAAAGCTCACCTCTCTGAGTTGGCAGGACGGCTGGTAATCGGCTTAAAGAGACATACTCGTTCAAAGCAGCTGTACAGCAGGTAGATGAGCCCCACGCTGAACGGTGTGAACAGGTCGAAGGTTTTGCAGATGAAGTGGCCTCCTGGATTAGAGAGAAAACACCAAGAGCAGTCAGTGGTTCTAGTCCAGGAGTTGGGTAAGGTAATTGCAGGGAGTAAATATTACCAAGTCAGAGACTCAGAACCTGCGTCCATTAAAAGTCAGAGGCAACTTAAGGGGGAGACTGAGCTTTGGAGGGGACTTGGAGGATTCTATAGCACTTTCTTCCCTAAATTCTTCATTCAGCTACCTGTCACCTGCCGTAAGAATTTTTTTTTTAACTTCCAAGCCAACTCTTAAGCATGCTCTTATCCAGCAGGGGCCCTGGGGTGGAGACAGAGAAGGGAGTGTCACCTGTCCGGACAACAGAGAGCGCCATGAGGAACTGGCAGAGCAGCAGCTGCTTGCTGAGGATCTCCTGCAGGTTCTCCTGGCCCTCCACGGAGAAACCCTGAAATGGAGCACAAGGGTGAGGGTGGGAACCAGAGTGACGAAGACTGAAAAGGCATCCTTACCTCACCTTCACTGACTTCTTCCACCACCTGACCGGTAGAGACACAGCTCGGCACCTGAATTACTTTGGCACAGTCACATGGCTCATTACAAACAGGACCCAGGCCTGATGACTGGACCAGTGCCATTTCCAGGGGTGGAACCAAGTCTCCTTTTCCAAGAAGATGGTCCAGAAAATTGTAAAGCTCACTTAAGAATCCAAGGGAAGAGTAAGACAGAATCAAGGCAAAACACGGGCTAGTCACAGGCCAACTGCAGGACAGGAAACAGAGAGCCCTGGTGAGTCTGACAAGGCCCGGGAAGCACACGTGGCACGAATACTCTGCCTGGGCTCACTCAGCCTCTGGACTGACCGCAAGACAGGCCCATTTGGTGACAGGAGAAAAGTCAGCAAAACTCTGACACAGTGACCTCTCTCTGCTGATTAAGGATTTTCTCACAAAACCATTCTCCTGTCCCAAGCCCATGAAGCCTCTCCTTGTAGCTGGCAGGATCTCTGGCCAGAGCGTTGGCTTAAAGAGCGCAGGCACGCTGCTATTCCTGGAGTGGTGTCCCTCCCTGTGAGAGCCCAGCAGGGAGCAGAGAGCCAACCTCAGCACGACAGGGCTTTTGAGAACCAGATTTTTAAAATTTAAACTAGATAGGTAGATACATTGTTATTAACTTAATTAGAGTACTCCTAACCTGGCCTGGGATAGGGCAGATCTTTAATGGGCACAGTTTCAATTCTGCAAAATGAAAACAGCCTGAAGATTTGTTTCAGGACAATGTTAATATATTTAACACTACTGGACTGTTCACTTGAGAATGGCTGAGATGTGCAGTTTAAGTTGGGTGTTTTCACAATAATAATAATAAGTAAACGAGGCTGTCATTTGTTAAATTGGCCCCAGCCAGGTCTCCCTGATTCAGTCCTATGAATGTAATAGCTAAATAACCCAGAATAAAAAATCCAAGTTTATAGATGCTCCTCAAAATTCATGCCTGTTTATAGGGTAAATCAAAAAAGAAAACAAACAAAAACCCAGCCCGGGTCACCAGTCCACAGTGCTGAAGCTGAAAGACAATCCTGAGTTGCCCCTCTAGCTGCCGGAGTGCAATGGCTGCCTCCCCAGCACCATCAGACCCTGCAGCTGCTCACCGGGAGCAGCTTCCCCCGCCCGGCCTGTCTGTTGTTCCCTGCTGAGCACATGCTTTCAGACCCTATGCTGACGCCTGCACAGTCCTTCACCTTTCCACAGCTAATACTTGAAAGGCCACTCAAGTTGCTCCAGAGGTTTCACTAAACTATAGCCATGTGACTCTGGAGCAACTATCACATTCTCCGTGCTGCCTCTAGGCCAGCGGTCAGCAAACTGCGGCTCCAGAGTCACATGCGGCTCTTTGGCCCCTTGAGTTTTTAGCACAGGCCAGGTTGGTACCCTAATTAAGTTAATAACAATGTATCTACCTATATAGTTTAAATTTTAAAAATCTGGTTCTCAAAAGAAATTTCAATTGTTGTACTGCTGATATGTGGCTCTGTTGACTAAGTTTGCCGACTACTGCTCTAGGCCAAAAGAATAAAACTTAATTCATACATCCCCTACTACCTGAATAGTGAGCTAGCACCTACGAGGGCAGCTAAAGGGCTAATGTAATAAAACAAAGCAAAAGCAATTCTCAAGCCTCAAAGGAGATAAACCCCTAAAGCACCAGTCTATGGAAACGGGTCACCTACCCCATCGGCCATCAGAAAGTGGACACCCTTTCGATCTGTGTTATCCAGGACAAAATTCCGAAAAGCAGTGATGTTCTCTGGGCGGGTGATGTCTCCATCTCCATCGATCCCACCCTCGCCTGCAGGACACAAGATCCACATGAACCTCATCGGCCCTGTGCATCCCAAGATCGGGACATTAGCTCCCTGGGGCTGTGAAACCAAGTGGGCCTTGAGTTCCCGGAGAAAAGCCCCTGAGGAGCAACTCACTGCAGGACTCCCCCCAGCACCACCACTGCAGGGCTGCCTTACAGTGACGGGCCAGGCAGACACAGGCCTGCTGTATGGAATAAAGCAGAGATGACAAGAAGTTAACCAGTCAAAAGGATCAACTGAACAGAGGGCCTTCCTCAAGCCCAAGTTGTGTTTAAAGGACCTACATTTCAGAACCAATTTTGACCTTTTTTTTGGCTAATCCTCACCTGAAGGTATCTTTTCCCATTGATTTTCAGAGTGGAAAGGAGGGGGCAGAGAAACATGGTCAAGAGAGACACACATTCAATTGGTTGCCTCCTGCACGCACCCCAAACAGGGCCGATGATTGAACCTGCAACCCAGGTATGTGCCCATGGCTAGAAATCGAACCTGAGACCCTTTGGTTCGCAGGCCAATGCTCTAACCACTTAACCACACAGGTCCCAATCTCACCTTTTACTAAGGACTGTTAAAAAAGAACTTGGGATCTGGTGCCAATCACAACAATCAAGCCAGAGTAGGTGAGGGGCCTGCTGCAGGGCAGCTGAGCTGTCTGTTATCGGTACTTTTCATACCCCGACACATGCTAGTACGTTAATGACACTGCCAGTTCTCAGCCAGAGATCAGGCAATTTCATTATCTCCTGTCACCGGAGAAGAAAGGAGGAATGCATATGGCCTGGATGCAAGTGTAACCTGTATCCCACAGGCCAGGGCAAAAAGGGACAGACTAGGGGGAACCAAGACCTTCATGACATGTACTGGGAGACCTAGGAAAGAAAACATGGCAAGTGGGTAACAGCTGCTTCTGACCTGCCTCCCCAGAGGCGGTCCCACGGTCCCTAGTATCCTCCCGCGGGTCCTACCGTAGTAAGGTTCAAAGAGTTCGCTGGAGGCCGAGTAGAAGTCCTCCAGCTTGAAGTCATTCGGGCCCTTCAGGGTCATCCCAAAGCCCTTTGCGTGCCACTTCTTCCTCCACAGCACGTACTCCGAGAAGCCCCCGGGGCCTGCACAGACATCAGCGAAGTACAGAAGCTCCGCTTCCCGGTCCTTCACCAGTGGTTTCTGCAACGGCCAGGGGAGGACAGGAGAAGGGGAAAGATGGCTCAGTGGTAGGAAGGAGAAGGCGGGGAGTGAAATCAGCCTTTCCCCAAGCACACTGCAGAGTTCCCCCCAGGCCGCACACCAAGCAAGTATATCCCGAGACCATCACCCCCAATCAATACGCCTTTCACACCACCAGGCCTAGCTCAGTCACAGCGCCCACCTCTCCAGACCACAGTGTCAGCTTCCCTGCTCTCTCCCCGTCCTCATCGGCACTCCCTGTTTTCAATTAACTTTCTATTTTGAAATAATCTTAGATTTACAAAGAAGTTGCAAAGACAGAGTTCTCACATACCATTCACCCAGTTTCCAGTTTTACTAATACCTTACACTGTCAAAACTAAGAAGCCAACATTTGTACACTGCTATTCACCAAGCTCCAGACCAGGTTCCGATTTCACTAGAGTCCTTGCTCTGTTCCAGGATCTAATCCAAAACACCACAGTGCATTTAGTCTACACCCCTTTCTCCTCTCTACACCCCTTTCTCCTGCTGCCTTTGCCCCTCTGTTGCGGGGGCCTGGACTGGGCGCAGCTGGGAGCTGACAAAACAGAGAAAGGAGACAGCGGGGTGCAACTTCCAGGCAGCCCTGGGAGCACCCACCCACCGCAGGAATACTGCCTAACTATGTCACAATAACCATTTGAATTTTTATCGGATTATAATTTTGGCCACCTGAGTAGCTTTAACTCTTATTACCGTATTTTCCGGCGTATAAGACGACCTTTGAAATGAAAAAAAGTCAACCGAAAATAGGGGGGAAAAGACCTAAGTTGCACAAAAATTACCTGCAGATCTTGATGACAAAGTAAGTCTTTTCTTCGAAGTGGGGGGTAGTCTTATACAGTCTTATATAAAATTCATCCTGAGCCCTAGCTGGTTTGGGTCAGTGGATAGAGCGTTGGCCTGAGGACTGAAGGGTGCCAAGTTGTAGGCTCGATCCCCAGTTGAGGGCATGGAGGAGGCAGCCAATCTATGAATTCTCTCTCATCATTGATGTTTCTCTCTCTCTCCCTCTCTCCCTTCCTCTCTGAAGTCAATAAAAATATATTAAGAAGATAAATGGATAAAATTCATGCTGAATGCAGCATGGACCTGTATTGTGTGTTTGCACTTCCTTTTACACACTTGGGCCCTAGATGGTGAATTCTATCTGGTCTAGTAATAATTAATGTTGTTTTTAAACATTCGTTTAAAATCTTGCTTGGCGGTGACTTGTATTGACATAACCTTCAAACACGTGGTATCTACAGAACGTGTGAAGTGCAATTAACAAGTTTTGCTTGAAAAAGTTTGTGTTTGGTTTGGTTTTTATTGCAAAACTAGGGCTAAGAAGATGGCGGATGAAGAGCATATTTGGCACTGCATGCTTTACTTGTTCCAATTAGGAAGAAAAGCAAATGAGGCTGCAAAAAACATCTGTAGTGCTCTTGGTCAAGATGCAGTTAGCGCCAGAAAATGCCAGCGTTGGTTTGAGAAATTTCGCGAGGGAAATTTTTCGTTAGATGACAAGAGTGGTCGAGGCCGTGTGCTCAATTTTGATCAAGAAGCTCTTCAAGCTCTTTTGGTGCAAAATCCTCAAATTACCCAACAAGAGCTTGCGACAACTTTAAATTGTTCACAAAAAACAATTTCCAATCAATTGCGTGCACTTGGCAAAGTCCAAAAGTTTGGAAAATGGGTTCCTCATGAGTTGACCGACAACAACCATAATCAAAGAGTCACAATTTGCAGTTCGCTCCTCTCTCGTCAAAACCGTTTGCCGTTTTTAGAGCAAATTGTTACCGGAGATGAAAAATGGGTGCTGTATGTTAATTTGAAAAGGCGGCCTCAATGGTTGGACAAAAATGAGGCTCCGCAGCCCACGCCAAAACCTGACTTGCATGAGAAAAAAGTGATGTTGTGTGTTTGGTGGAATTTTAAAGGAATTCTTCATTATGAACTTTTACCATCTAACCAAACCATTACAAGTGCAGTGTAGAGTGCCCAATTGGAAAGGTTAGCCCAAGCTTTAAGATAAAAAGAACCCGCGCTGATTAATCGGAAGGGCGTAATTCTTCACCACAATAACGCACGACCGCATACTGCAAGAATCACTGCTGAAAAACTGCGCCAGTTGGAATGGGAAGTTCTCCCTCAACCTGCATATTCTCCTGATATTGCCCCTTCCGATTACCATTTGTTTCGTTCTTTGCAAAACTTTCTTCTTGGAAAAAAATTTAATAATGAAGAATGCCTCAAAAATGCATTGACCGAATTTTTTGCATCAAAATCACAAGAATTTTACAACAGAGGGATTAAAATGTTTCCTGAGCGTTGGGCACAAGTAGTAGAAAACAACAGCAACTATATTGTTGATTAAATTTTGTTGTATTGTTTAAATAAATTTGATTTAAAAAAGTATTAGAAAACGACATTAATTATTACTAGACCTAATATTTGTCCTGACCCTCCACAGCACAGAGGAGGTACCATCTACACCAGGGACAAAAGGCTGAGCTCTCGAGTGGGAGGCAGAAGACACTGATGACCATCAGCAGGGAGGCAGCTCAGCCTTTGCTCTCTACCAGCTGACATGCCTGAGTGCTTGTCCAGAGCTCTGTAACTGCTAGATCAAGACCAGAAAGCTTGAGGGGAAAGTTAATGAGAGAAATGGAAAACGAATGTGCACAATCCAGTCCATTTCTAGGTGATAAGGGCCTTCCCTCTGAGGATAGCTATCAGTTTTATCAAAACAGTGAAAAAAAGTTTTTGGAAAAAGTAGCTTCAGCTAAAAATAAACATTGTTATCCTGTATCAAGCCCACGAAGGCATGCTGGGATGCATCAATTCTTTCTCTCCTCCCCCACCACTCCACCCCAGCATTCTTTGTTCCTATCAATTGTCTATGTTTTTGGATTTTATTTATTTGCACACAAAAAAAGACCAATTGGCATTTGCCAAAAACATTATTTTAGCACTTTCCTGACAGCGAGATGGTAATGAGGCAGGGTCACAAGTTGAAGGCCTGCACACACTGGAAAATGGGAAACTAATGTTCCTCACTGCGGGGTGTGCCCTAGCCCCCAGCCCAGGCTCCAGCCTCTCCACCGAGCCACTGGCCCACAGGAAGACTAGGGGAAGGAAGAGGAACGAAGCAATGAAAGCATATCACCTCCAAAACGAGGACATAAATATGATCTCATTTTGTGATTTCAAGATATGTGACCCTCCCAGGCCACAGCCAGATCTTTTCATAGAAAGGACAGCTGGGCTTCTCACCTCTTCCACCTACTGGCTGTGCAGTCAAGGGCAAGCACACAATTTATGCCTTTAAGCTCAAGCTTTCTCAACAATAAAGTGGAACTAATATAGGTTATTTCTCCTTTTTTTTTTTTTTTAATCCTCACCCAAGGATGTTTTTATTGATTTGAGAGAGAGAAACATTGATCGATTGCCTATTGTACATGCCCTAACTGAAGATGGAACCCACAACCTAGGTATGTGCCCTGATTGGGAATCAAATCCACAACCTTTGGTGTATGGGACGATGCTCCAACTAACTGAGCCACCAGGCCAGGACTATAGATTACTTCCTGAGTGTTGCAGGATTAAATAAATTACCATCCATCAAAAACCTTTATAAACTATAAAATACTAAACAAACATAGGTTATCAATTCAGCTAGATCAACTATCATGGAGTCAAAACTTTGTCCTTCTCCATCTTTTTCTCTTCCCAATGCCTCAGTGGGCACTTTGAACATGCTAATTTCCTCTAAGACATCTCACAAACTTACAGGTCTACATTTAGTTTTTGTCTATTATTACACTTCAAAACATATTTTCTTATTTCAACAATATCCCCAGGCACATAAATTCCTCACATAAAGTTATCCTATATAATAAAAGGGTAATATGTAAATCGACTGAAAGGCAGAACAACCGGTCGCTATGATGCACACTGACCACCAGGGGCAGATGCTCAGCCAGAAGTGGGGCTCATGGCTGGGGAGCACAGTGGTGGTGGTGGGAGCCTCTCCTGCCTCCACAGCATCAGCCATCTCTCGAGGCTCCCAGAGTGCAAGAGGGCACAGGCCGGGCTGAGAGACCCCCCCCCCCAAATGCATGAATTCATGCACCAGGCCTCTAGTGTTTTAGCATGGACTTCCAGATATACAAAGAATCTAAACTACCTTCTTTCCCTAGTCTCTTCCAATTCTTATTTATAACTTATTGATTTCCCTACCCTAGTCTCTTTTCAACTTTTCCACAACCTGAAGAACCAGAAGCACATGGGAAAACCTGAGTCGTGTTCCCCTCCCACTTTCCACCTCTAACCTCTCCATCCCACCCCAGGCTTCAAGCTCTGCATCCGCGCGCTCATATTCCATAACCAGCCTGATCCAGGAGGCAGAGACCCTAGCAAGCCTGGTGTGCGCCTGGGGCTTCAGCCCCTCCCCTCTCTTCTGGAACTGCTCTAGTGCATCTCTGCTCACCTGAAAAAACATGCTAAGCCTGCTGGCCTTGGCTGTCACTCTGGTCCTCAGGGAAAAACAGAGAGGAAAGAGAAGAAAAGACTAGAGGCTAAAGAGAAATCACTTTTTATCATGGAATGCAGAGAAACATCTCAGAAAGGGGAATTCTCCATGGCCACTAACAATCAATTCAGGTCAAGAAGATGCCTCAAGTGTTACAGACTCGGCTGCCTTTTCCTATGTAACTAACACCTCCACTCTCCACCTGAATGGTACAACCTGTGTCTTCTTCATTTTCCTGAGAGCAAAAGACAACAACCAGACACAAGCTGCTGGAGGCATTTTCATTCAAAAGCCCCACATGATGCTGTGACTTCCCATCAGCTTGACAGAGCTCTTCTGCTAGGCAGGGGTTTAAAACCATTTGGAACTCAGAAAATTAAATCAACATTATATCAACCCAATTTTCTCAAGATGCTAATTCCAAGAGCCCCTTTTTGCTGCCTGCTGGTACTGGGAAATGGGGAGAGAGACGGGAGAGAGCAATGACTAAAGGCTGGAGGGGTTTACATGCCGTTTTGCCAGCATGGAGAATGCAGTGAGGTAGGTGGAGCTGAAACATTAAGAACTTGGAAAGGAAGTTTTTTAGTGAGTGGACAGTCAGAAGGCCTAATGGAAGGAGGGTGAGTGAAGCAGAAACAGGCAAAGAGAACTAACTTTCTAGAACTGAGTAAAAATGCTTTGAAACCCTGACAGTAACACTAGAATGAAATTTCCTTTATTCTTTCTCTGTCATCCTCGAGGATCTGTGCCAGAGAAATGAGATGCAGCAGAATAGAAAATCATCTTGCTGTACCATTTCTTGAGAAGGGCCAAAGCCTGATAATTATGATTCCACACAGAGCTCATTCTAAGAGGCAGGAAGGGAAAGTGGCCATATCAGAACTCCCAGATCTAAGAGCTGGAACAACTCTTAAGAGCCGTTGGGTCCTACCCTGGCCCTCTAGCAGGCGAGCAGTGCTAATTTCAGAGATGAGGCAGCTGAGACCCAAAGAAGCGTGTACTGAAGTGACAGCACCTGCAATGGGAAGTGGCACACTCCCTGCCGGCCTCACTGAACAACACAGCCACGGCATACTGGTTTTAAATGGACCAGTGGAAAGACAGGATGGCCACATGCCATTCAACTCTCAAATATTTCCCAGAGTCCTCTCCTCCCATACTAGAAACACACCCAAATCAGATGATGTCACAATTTCAATAAGCTACTGTAAGTTCTGTACTCACCCTTCTACTCCACCTCACCCATAGTGGAAAGAAGGCAGGCTAAAGCCCCTGGTGGCAACTGGTCTCCACACGTCAATAAGCACAGAAAGGCTTTACAGTCCCAGCCCTACACCCCTACCAGCTCTCAACTCCACCAGAATGTCCAGAACCTAATAGTGCCTTGGGGAAAGGGATCATGTCTATCTCATTCAAAACTATATTCCTAGTGCCTGGCACTGTGCCTGGCACAGTGTAGGGGCTTACTGAAAGCAAGAGGGGCCCATGCTCTAACTCACCGCCTCATCTCCCTGTTCTCTAGGCCTTTAGATGCCACAGCTGCTGATTTGGCCCAGGAACGTCCCTTCCCCACTGCTGCCAGCCTGCCCACTCCACTGGGAGTGCACAACAGGACCTGCAGCGTCAGGAGCTGGGACTTTGGGACTGAAGCTCTAGAGACAATGCTTTTTGGGGCACTCCTAGGAACACAGGGACGCACTGTGGGACCCTTTCTGAGGAGCTCAAAGCAAAATATCTAACATAAAATCCATCTCTATCACATAGCAGCTATAATTACATTGCACAAATGGCGATTTCTGAGCCACTGAAGCTTAAGCCCATTTAACACTATGAATTCAGAAGCAGAAACTTGTTCTCACCCCATAAGAGTCCCGTGGATTTGTAAAAATGCGATCAAACACAAAATCCATATTGGCCATCTTCATTGCTGCCCTGCAACAAAGACAGACAGAGTTCAACTCAGTACCAGACAGACGGAAAGCTGAAGCTCAAGAAAAGGCGGAGGGTCGTGTTTGGGGAGGAGAGAGGAGGGGAGGGGAGGGGAGGGGAGGGGAGGGGAGGGGAGGGGAGGGGAGGGGAGGGAAAGAAAAAGTCAGCAAACCTGTTCAGGAAGAAGACTCCTCGGATCATCTCATAGGGATTGGCTCGGGTCCGAGCTCGTCGCATCTCCTCTCCATCCAGGACATCAAACACACTCTGCCCAGAGAGAATCAGAGCCTCGAGGTGAGCATCCGCCGGAAATGGACAGGGCTCTTAAGAGCCTGAGGAGCCCAAAGAGCAGCGTCCAAAGAGCAAGGCTCCTGCTGTCCCCAGCTCTAACATGACCGGCCGTGTGACCCTAGACAAGCTGCTCAATCACCCTGACCCTCAACTACATCCCCTGTAAGATGGTGCACAATAAATGTAAGCACATCCCTGACGCATGGTAAGCGGTTACTAATAAAAGATTGCCGTGGCTATGCTCGGGGCCACCGCCTGGCATTGCCAACCCTCATAGCAAATCTCTTCTCCACTCCAGCAGCGACTTCCCAAGGGGCTGGATCTGATACCATGGCCCTCTCCCATGGGCTCATTGAGAGGGCAAACAAACCAAGGCCAGCCAACACACAGTAGGGATCCCTCTCCTTCCTCCAAGTTCCTCTCAGATTTAAAAAAAACAAACAGCCCCACTTCACAAGAGTACCAGTCACAAGATATTCCCAACCCTTTGTCAGAAAGATAAGCTCTGAGGCCGGTGGCTCCATTGGTCAGAATCATCCCGCACACCCTAAGGCTGTGAGTTTAATTCCTGGTCAGGGCGCATGCAGGAGGCGGCCAATCAATGTTTCTCTCCATCTCTCTCTCTCCACCCCCTCTCTCTTTCTCTCCCCTCTTCTCTCTAAAATCAACTTTTAAAAAATTAATAAGCTCTGAAGCCTTGCTGCTTCTCCAACCCATTTCCTCCTTAGTTTCCTTGGCTCTTTCTGTTCCGGGCAATGCACTTCCTGGCCCAAAACTCAGGCCACAAGATACCAAGGGAAGGCTATTCATCCAGCCTTAGGAGCCTCCCACTCAGCATTTCATTTAATTCTCACAGCAACCCGGGGAAGGATTTTCTCCCTATCTTATAGATGAGGACACTCATACTCAGCGAACCTAAAGCAACTGGCCCAAGGTCACACTGCCAAAAGAGTTGCAAAACTAGGATTTTAATTTGGGTCTATTTAATGCTAAAGAATTATTTCAAACCTTTCATTATACCCGTCAACCTTCCTACCCATCACACACACACACACACACGCACACACGCACACACGCATCCAACCAAGATTAGAATGAACCAACCGCTGAGGTTAAGTGGATCCTTTCCTGGCTACTGACCACAGGGACAGCACAATACTACAAAGCAGGCAGTCACCAGGAAAAAGGACACCTTGGAGAAATATACAAGCTACGCATCAGACCACCAGGAAAGTATCAGCTAAACTTCTGCCCCCACAATTGATTCAAAAGAACTAGAGAAGCCCAGACCACCCTTCACACATAGGTTTTACTCCAGCTCTAGCCATAGGCCTTACCTTACACTGCAGCACACTATGAAGCAGGTCTTCCCCACAAAACTCTGTTTCATCTTCAATAATCATCTTCCTCTACAGGGAGAAGAAAATAGTAATGACCATGTGACTGCACTTGGAGGGATGAATGGAGAAACTAGTGGGCGGGAGGCAGAGCCAGCACTATGAAGCGAGGACCAAGGGCCATCAGTTGCAGCAGCCAGCAGTGGCAACAGCAGCATGGTGATGGGGGCGGCACCTTCCTCAATTTCCTCCCACAGAGGGAGGCCAAAGGCAGCAGCAGTGGCAGGGTGATGGCAGCCTGGTAGCCTCCCGCAGAGGAAGGCCAGACTGTGACAGGCCTGTTCCCCCTGGGGAGCGGGCCTAAACCATCAGTAGGACATCCCCTGAGGGCTCCCGGACTGTAAGAGGGGGCAGGCTGGGCTGAGGGACTCCACCCTCAGTGCACGAATTTTCATGCACCAGGCCTCTAGTGTGAGTATAAACACATACATACCAACTCGAAGAAGGGAAACGTCAGGAGATAAGTGCCAACAATTTTAGGGTGCATTTTCCTGAAATCCTACCTTTCCCACAACCATCCAATCTTTCATTTCCTCAGTGTCAGGAATTTCAGTGGTACATTCTGGGAACCATGACACCTGCTCTCTGGCACTGGGCTACAAACAAAAGAGGCAAATAAGTGAGGTAAGATAAGCCCTTAGAAGAACAATGTCCCAACTAATCAGGGCTTCCCAAAACAATCAAGAGGGACTCAGATAGAGTGGGAAGAGTCTTGGAAGCAGAGGCCAAAGGCAGTTTTTAAACATGAAAATTGAGAGCTGGAATTCTCAAGTTTCACTTCTGAAGGCCAGGTCCAATTCTGGTTTCAGTCCCTAGAAACTTCCCAAACCTTCAAATTATCTTTCATTTGTTCCAATACTTTTTATGAATACCTGTTATGGACTATGTGCTCAGAATGCAGAGTTAAAAAGACATTGTCCTTGTCCCATGAGGCAGTGAGGATACAGAGAGGTAGGTGTAAGATATGTGTCTCTGATAGGTAATCACATCAGGAAGACAATAAGCAATGAATCTCATCTCCTGATGCCTTTCAAAGTGTTACTCACAAAATAAATTGTATTCCTCACCCATTCACTCTAAGATAGGGCAGAGACTAGCACCTCTAATGAACTACTTCCGAATAAACTAGCACCTCTAAGGAACTACTTTCCTTATCAAGCCAAAACAGTGGTTTTTACCCTGCTATCCATTAGAGTCATCTGCAGGCCTTTTAAAAAGTTCTGGGGCCTGGGGCCTACCCACAGAATGTATGATTCTGTTGATCTGAGGTGGGAACTGGGTATAAGTGCATTGTCAGAAGTCCCCAAATGACTCGAATGTGCAGCCAGGGCTATGTTCACTGGGCTAGAGAGACATGGATTATAAAATTTTAACAGGTGGCTAACTGCATGGCAGCTGTACACATTCCCTCCTTAGCAAGTGTGGAGAAGAGACTCACCATTGCAAATTGAAGCAATATGGTTAAAGGTAATATTACATGCTCTGAAAGGCATAAAATGGTATCACAATGCAAGGTCTGGAGGGCAAGCCAACCACCATCAACAGACAAAAGATTAAAAGAAAAATTACTGAAGCTTTTTGTCAATGAATCAGGCAGTGAACCATGGCTCCTCTCCTTGGTCAAATCCATCACTTTTAAGCATAAATGGTTCTGATTTATATTATAAACTCTTCTTTAAAAAAGCAACTCATGCCCAGCCAGCGTGGCTCAATGGTTGAGCGTTGACCTAGGAACCAGGAGGTCACAGTTTGATTCCTGGTCAAGGTACATGCCCAGGTTTCAGGCTCGATCCCCAGTAGGGAGCGTGCAGGAGGCAGCCAGTCAATGATTCTTTCTTATCATTATTTCCATCTCTCCCTCCCTTCTGAAATCAATAAAAATATATTTTCTAAAAAATAAAAAATAAAAAAAAAAGCAACTCATACACTTTGGATACCCCTATAGAGATAAAGAGAAGACTCAATCTCCACATGGAAGTCTAAATAATGCTACCTGGAAAGTGGACTTTGTCTGAAGCTTCCAACCTTGCACTTTCTCTCCATCCTGGGCTACAGAAGTCACTAAGCACCTTCCAGTAGTGACTCTAGGAATGGGTCACCTCAGGCCACCCAGACTCATCTATTTTAAACAAGTGACCACCATCTAACAGTTAAGCCACATTCTTAACCAAAAGATAGGACATCTTTTGTAAAAGAAAAACTGAATTATGGTAGATGGTTTATTAGAACAGCTTTGTCTCAAAAAGGAATTTCAGTAGCCTGTCTCCGTTAAAAGCAGAAATTTTATGGGCAAATTTCATATCTCAAGTTTAGAGGTTAGTTCTAATTCTGTCCCACTGAGAGAATTGAGACTTTTTACTTATTTTTCATACAAATGAGGACACAGAAAGCACCATTTCTGAGGTAAAAACCTACATCTAGCACCCAATTACAAATATTTACCCTATCTGCACTGTCTCATCTGCTATTCTGCTGGTGTTGTCTCCTCACAACTACAAGGCAACACAGCAGGACCACATCAGAACCCATTAGCTCTTGGCTTGTCAGCTTCTTACTCTGATGCCTTATTAGACTTTTATCATGCACAGGTTGATGGGAAATTTTCCTGAACTGAAACATCAGAGAGACAAATAAAATATCAATTTTCCAGAGTTCAGAACCACATCTGAAGTTAAATTACAGCAACTATGTAGAAGACTAGACATTTGTTTTCTATTTTCTCTAGTTTCAACTCCATAATGGTAATATTACATCATTATTTTTAGGGGCTTTTATTATACCTACTTCAAATCCTTTGTGGAATAAGGCAGGACATAAATAAATGGATAAAAATAAAGTCTCAACATTATCTGTACCAAGTAGGTAAGCAGACTAAATCCACAATGAAAAAGCCATATGGCATAAATAAACACGTTTACAGGTGCAAGGACCTTACATGGCACCTAATCTAATCACTGACACAATGGGAAAGTAGGTCCTCAATTGGCCACTTGAACCTTGTGAGGTATCTAATGGTGGAAAGCTGTATTAAAAAGTTCTTTGTAGAGGCAAACCTTGCCTTCCAGTATCTTCTACCCATTGGTCTTAGATATCCTTTATGAAGCAACTGGAATCAAATCCACATCCTATCATTCCCCCTCCCCCAGACTTGTTTTCTATTCTGGACATCCCCAGAACCTTCCATGTAAGAAACTAGTTCAACCCCACTAATCGCCCTGATCAAACTGCCTCTGGAGACTTCTAGTGTGTCAATGAGACAACTTAAGGACATGCCTCCAAAAACACAAGTGGCTTTCTGCCTTCTCCGCCCCACACCAGTTACCTCGGGCTCATCTCGCCAGTCCACATTCAACTCCTGTTCAAAGCCTTGCAACGTCAGACCCAGGCCTCTTCGACCTTTCTGATTAGAGGCCTCAACGATGTCCTTCCGACCCTGGCTGTATTTACCCAATCCTTCACCTTCCCTGAAGCCCATCTTCGCCTGAAAGAGAGAAATGATGGTACATTTATGTAAATAAATAGATAAAATGGAGCATTTTATTCAAACAGACATTTATGTAGCCCCTATCATGTGCCAGACATTCTGCTAAACCCAAAGAAATATAAAAAAGTAAGGCCTCACCCAGCTGGTAAGGTTCAGTGGTAGAGTCTCGACCCATGAACCAGGAGGTCAATGGTTCAAATCCTGGTCAGGGCACATGCCTGGGTTGTGGGCTCAATCCCTAGTAGGGGGCATGAAGGAGGCAGCCAATTCATGATTCTCTCTCACCATTGATATTACTATCTCTCCCTCTCCCCTCCTCTCTTTCTAAAGTCAATTAAAAAAAAAAAGATTTTAAAAAGGCCAAAAGTTTTCCTTCTAGCCTAATTAAAAAAACTGCAGTTTAACTGTGGGTCCAATGGCTGTCTATTTTGGAGGTGAAAGTCTAGGACAGCCAGAAGTATGATAAATGAGAAGGGACCTCACAGCTGTAATTAAAAGGACCAAGGGTACCTAATGAATGCCATTGGACATTTGTACAACTTACCCTTCCAGCTAATGTGTCTGATTAAATGAGAGGTAGATCTATAGAAGAGTTGATAAAAGAGAACATAATTTAAAATGGAACTTCTTCAGATTCTTGCTAAAAGGTATAGCTGTTTAGAAGTTTTCGGTTTGGTCTTGTTTTGACTTGTTTTATTTTGTTAGCATCTGTATAACAGTTGGCATGATGTGGTCAGGGTTGAGCCTCACAGTCAGCAAGCCTGAGGACTGAGCCCACCCATGGAAAGGACACCAGTAATCAACATCCAAATATAACAAAAGAACCCATACAACACACGCAAGGGACATTCCTAGAGCAGCCTGCTCAGATGATGAAGGAGACTATACAACTGGGTTCCACATGATGCCAACAACAAAAAGGATATCTCACCAAAACTGGGTGTCATAGCAGTCCCATCCAATACACAAAAACAAACACAAAGAAACAGCAAAAATGGGGAAACCAAGAAACAGTAAAAATAGAGAAATAAACCCCAAATTAAAGAACAGAAATAATTTGCAGAAAAAAAGAGCTAAATTAAATGGAGGCAAGAAATTTATCAGAAACTGAGTTCAAAGTAATGGTTTTAAGACTGCTCAACATCCCTGACTGGTGTGGCTCAGTTGGAGTATCATCCTGTACACTGAAAAGCTGTGGGTTTGATCCCCAGTCAGGGTGCATACCCAGGTTGTGGGTTGAGTCAATCAATGTTTCTCCCTCACTTTTTCCCTCTCCCTTCCTCTCTCTCTAAAATCAATAAAAACATACCTTCAGGTGAGGATCTGAAAGAGAGAGAGAGAGAGAATGCTCAACAGCAGGACACAGAAACCATGAAAAACAACCAATCGAAAATGAAGGATGACATATCCCTCACTAGTTTTGCTCAATGGTTAGAGCATTGGACCACAGACTGAAGGGTCATGAGTTCAATTTTGGCCAAAGGCAATTACTTTGATTGCAGGCTCAATCCACAGTGTTGGTCAAGATACATGCAGTAGGCAACCAATCAATGTGTCTCTCTTACGTCGATGTTTCTCTCTCCCTGTCTCTCCATGTACCTTCCACTCTCTCTAAAAATCAATGGAAAAGAAATGTCCTCCAATGAAAATTAACAATAAAAAGACATTGCTGAAAGAAAGAAAGAAAGAAAGAAAGAAAGAAAGAAAGAAAGAAAGAAAGAAAGAAAGAAAGAAAGAAAGAAAATACTGGAAGGAATAACATTAGAGGAAGTGTAGGATCTAATAAGTAAATTAGAAGACAAGGTAGAAAAAAAATCAATCAGAGCAGCAAAAGGAAAAAATAATTAAATAATTTCAAAGCACAAGGATAGTTTAAGGGAACTTTGGGACACCATGAAATGTAACAACATTCATATCACAAGGGCCCCAGAGGAAGAAGAAAGTGAGCAAGAGATCGAGAACCTGTTTGAAGAAATAATGACAGAAAAATTCCCTAATCTGGTGAAGGAAAAAGTCACAAAGAATCCCAATCAAGATGAACACAGAGAGATCCCCACTAAGATGCAGTCATAATGAAAATGGCAAACATTAAAGATAAAGAGATAAAACGAGTTATCAAGTCACATCTGTCAAAATGGCTTCCATCAACAAATGACAAGTGCTGGTGAGGATGTGGAGAAAAGGAACCTTAGTATACTGCTGGTAGAAATTCAGAATAGTACAGCCATATAGAAAACAGTATGAAGTTCCCTAAAAAAATTAAATATGGAACTGCCATCTGACCCAGTGATCCCACTTCTAATATATCCTAAGAAATCCAAAACACCCATCATAAAGAATTTATGCACCCCTATGTTTATAGCAGCACAATTTACAATAGCTAAAATCTGGAAACAGCCTAGGTGCCCATCAGAAAATGAGTAGATAAAAAAGGTGTGGTATATTTACACCAATGAATATTATACAGCAGTAAAAAGAAGTATCTCTTACCCTTGGAGACAGCATGGAGGGAACTGGAGAGTATTATGCTAAGTGAAATAAGCCAGTCAGAGAAAGACAAGTATCACATGATCTCACTCATATGTGGAATCTAATAAACAAAATAAACTGACGATAGAACCAAAGACACAGAAACATGGAACAGACTACTGAATCTCAGAGGGAACTTGGAGGGTAGGTGGGTGGGAAGAGATCATCCAAAGATATTGTATGTATATATGTATAACCCATGGACACAGACAATAGGGTGGTGAAGGCCTAGGATGGGGAGCAAGACAGCCTGGAAAGAGTCAAAGGAGGGATATATGTAATACTTTCAACAATAAAGATTAAAAAAAAAAAAAAAAAGACACAGAGACAATCTTAAGGGCAGCAAGAGAGAGACAGCCAGTTACCTACAAGGGAGCTCCCATAAGACTGTCAGAAGATTTTTCAACAGAAACACTACAAGCCAGAAAGGAATAGCATGAAGTATTTCAAAGTATTGAAAGGCAAAGATCTGAAACCAAGACTACTCTATCCAGCAAGGCTATCATTCAAAATTGAAAATGAGCACAGCCAGTATGGCTATGTGGTTGAGCATCAACACATGAACCAGAAGATTACAGTTTAATTCCCAGTCAGGGCACATGCCTGGGTTTCAGTAGGAGTGTGCAGAAGGCAGCAGATTCTCTCATCATTGATACTTCTATCTCTCTCAGTCTCCCTTCCATTCTCTGAAATTAAAAAAAAATAAAAATAAAAAAAACTATTAAAAAATGTATCTTAGAAGAAATTGAAGGTGAAATAAAGAACTTCCCAAACAATAAAAAGGCAAAAGGATTTTATTACTACCAAACCAGAACTGTAAGAAAGGTTAAAATGAGTGTTATAAGAAGAAATAGAGATAGACAAAAATTAAAAAATAGTAATAAATAAGTTCCTATTAATAACATTACACACAAATGGATTAAATGCCCTAATCAAAAGACATAGGGTAGCTCAAAGAATAAGAAAACATGACCCATATATGAGCTGTCTACAAATAACACACCTCACAACAAAAGACTCACTCACATAGGATGAAAGTGAAGGGACAGGAAAAAATTTCCATGCAAAAAAAACAAAAAAAATTTCCAAGAGACAAAGAAGGTCACTACTTAATACTAGAGGGATCTAACCAACAAGAGGATATAACCCTGATAAACAAATATGTACCAAATATAGGAGTACCTAAATACATACATATATAAAATAAAGTATTGGAAGACTTTAAGGGAGAGATTAATAGCATCACAGCCACAGTAGGGGATTTTAACATGCCACTTTTATCACTGGATAGATCTTCCAGACAAAAAATCACAAGAAAACAGCAACCTTAAACAACACATTAGACCAGATGGATTTGATATTTACAGAATATTTCACCCCAAAGCAGCAAAATATACAATCTTTTCAATGTGCATTGAACATTCTTAAAGACAGACCACATGTCAGGGCACTAAGTCTTACAAGTTCAAGAAAACTGAAACTATATCAAGCATCTTCTAGATCACAGTAGCATGAAACTAGAAATTAACTACAATAAAAACACTCAAAAGCATTCAGACACATGGAGGCTAAATGGCATGTTATTAAATAATGAATGGGTTACCAATGAGTTCAATGAAGAAATAATAAACTTTCTGGAAATAAATGAAAATAAACACCTAAAATCTATGGGACATAACAAAAGCAGTCCAAAAAGGAAAAGTTCATAGTATTACAGGCCTACCTAAAAAGAAACAGGAAACAAATAATCTAACCCTATAACTAAAATAATTAGAAACAGAACAATAAGAAAAACCTAGAATGGCTGGCAAGCATGGCTCAGTTAGCTGAGCATCATCCCACGCACCAAGAGATTGTCAGTTTGATTCCTGGTTAGGGCACATGCCTGCAGTGTGGGCTTGATACCCAGTAAGAGGAATGCAGGAGCCAGCCAAGAGATGATTCTCTCCATCAATGTTTCTCTCTCTCTCATTCTCCCTTCCTCTCTCTATAAAACCATTATATATATATATATATATATATATATATATATATATATATGAAGAAAATAATAAAGATTAGAGAGGGAATAAATGATATAGAAACAAACTAATAAAAACAATACAAACCAATGAAACAAAAAGCTGATTCTTTGAAAATATAAACAAGATTGATTAACCTTTAGCCAGACTCATTAAGAAACAAAGAGAACCCAAATAAATAAAATCAGAAATGAAAGAGGCAAAGTAAAAACTGACATCACATCATACAAAGGACTGTAAGAACATACTATGAACAACTATATGTCAACAAATTGGACAACCTAGATGAAATCGACAAATTTCTACAAACATACAATCTTCCAAAACTCAATCAGGAATAACCAGAAAACCTGAATAGACCAATAATAACTACTGAAATTAAAGCAGTAATAATAAATAAAAAAAAACTCCAGCAGCCCTGGCTGGTGTGACTCCATGGTTAGAGCGTCAGCCTGCCTAGGCACTGAAGGGTCGCAGGTTCAATTGCAGGGTAGAAGCACGTACCGTGTTGCAGGTTCCATCCCCAGCCCAGTTAGGGTAGGTGCAGGAGGCAACCAATCAATGTGTTTCTCTCCTAGATTGATGTTTTTCTCTGTGTGTGTGTCTGTCTCTCTCCCTACTCTTTGTCCCTCCCTAAAAATCTATGGAAAATATATCCTCAGGTGAGGATTAAAAAAAAGAAGGAAACCAAGATGGTGTCATATGGTATACACCTATACATGTTGCCTCTCACAACCACACCAAAACTACAACCTAAAAGACAAAATGACTATCACCAAAAAACTACTAGATTTAATCAATGAATTTGGCAATGTAGCAGGATATAAAATTAATATCCAGAAATTAATAGCATTCTTGCATATCAATAATAAATTCTCAGAAAGAGAAACCAAAAACAACAATGCTATTTATCATTACAACAATAACAACAAAAGAATATAACTAGGAATAAACCTGACCAAAGAGAAAAAGGACCTTTATTCATAAAAAACTATAGGACAACTCCCTGGCAATGGGCAAGGAGATACGTGACTGGTGGTGTTGCTCTTGTATCAATCAGGCAAAGCAGACATGCAGTCCTTAGTTCATCCCAGCTTGATGCCTGTGTTGGTAGCCAGAATTGTTTCATGATTGAGGCACATTAAAAAAAAAAAAAAAAAAAAAATCTGTAGGACACTGGGAAAAGAAATAGAGGAAGATACAAAGTAGTGGAAGCATATATCTGTGTTCATGGACAAGAAGAATTAACAGCATTAAAATGCTGTAAAAGCCAAAGCAATCTATAGATCCAACACAATTCCTATTAAAATACCCATGGTATATTTCACAGATCTAGGACAAATATTCCAAAAATTTACTAGGTGTATCAGTTAATAATTTGGATATTTTTCAATGGATGGAATTACACATATGTTGATATATATGCAATTTGATAAGTATACTATTTTGTTGTATTGACAACTTCAAAACTTCATATGTCAAATTTGCTGAAGGTGTTAACATCATAGATATTTTTACACTTAAAAATGTCAAATTTTGTACCAAAAAAAGAGCATTTATGGAAAGTTTTAATTCATTATTTTGAAGAAAAAGTTACTGTATACTTTGGGAAACTTATGGTGAACATGCTCCATCTCAAGGTACTTGTGAACGCTGGCTTAAACGCTTTAAAAGTGATGATTTGGACGTGGACAAGAACATCCAGGTCAATCGAAAAAGTTTGAAGACCAGCAATTACAAGCATTATTGGATGAAGATGCCTGTTAAACTCAAAAACAACTTGTAGAAAGATTAAACGTTGCTCAGCAAACCATTTCCAAAGGTTTACAAGCAATGGGAAAGATTTTAAAGGAAGGAAAATGGGTGCCACATCAACTGAACGAAAGACAAATGGAAAACTGAAAAGTCATCAGTAAAATGTTGTTTCAATGGCACAAAAGAAAGTCTTTTTTGCATTGAATTGTGACTGGCGATGGAAAGTGAATTTATTTTGAGAATCCTAAATGCACGAAATCCATCATGGGTTGATCCAGGTCAACCATAAACATCAACTGCAAGATCAAATCGCTTCAGAAAGAAGACAATGCTCTGTGTTTGATGGAATCAGGAAGGTATGGTGTATTATGAGCTTCTAAAACCAGGTGAAACCATTAATATTGATCACTACTGACAATAAATAATCAATTTGAACTATGTTTTCATCGTGAAACAACCAGAAAGTGCCAGAAGACATGGTAAAGTAATTTTGCTTCATGGTGACACACTATCACACACTTCAGACCCAGTTAAAAATACATTAAAAGATCCTGCCTTGGGAAGTATTAACCCACCCACTGTATTCACCAGACCTTGCTCCTTCAAATTACCAATTGTTCCCATCAATGGCACATGCACTTTCTGAGCAGCACTTCAAAACGTAGAAGGAAGTGGAAAATTGGGTCTCTAAATGGTTTGCCTCAAAACAAGGAAAGTTCTATTGGGACAGTATCCACAAATTTCCTGAAAGATGGGGGAAATGTGTAGCTAGTGATGGACATTACTTTGAATAAAGCACTTGTGATGTTTCTCTTGAAATTATTGTGTTTTCTTTGGTTACAAAATCCACATTTTGGTTACAAAATCCACATTATATGGAATTATATGGAAGTCCCCTATATATGGAATCCAAAAAGATCATGAATAGGCAAGGACACTGAGGGCCCAAATGAAGAGATCAACTGAAAAATTGCTTCATGCAAAACTGAGGTCTTGGAAGTACTATCAACTCCTGGACAGAATCACTGTTTTTAAATGTCATACTGAGCCCTAGAGTCATTGGACTCAATTATATGCCCCAAAAATCAGAAACCTAAATCTGAAACCCTAAAGATCCTTGTCTAATAAAAGACCTCAATCCTAAGATTTGTCTATTCCCCTGGAAGGCGGTTACCAGAAGCAGGCCGGAGCAGCCACTTCACACGGGTGAACTCCACTGCGGCGGTCGCCAACCAGTGGTCTGCGAGGGCCGAAAGGTGGCGACCGCTGCTCCGATGTGAACAATACCTCTATTGAACAGAGAGCCACACTCTACTAACTTTCAATAGCAAAAAGCAAAGGAAAACTCACTCCCTGGCATTTCTTTTCACACCAATCAATACAAATTCCCTTCTCTCTCTCTCTCTTCTGGTGCAGCTTTAGAAACCCCACCCAAGTGCCAACATACCATAAGCTTCTGGGAGACGCTGTTGTACATGGAATAGCGGGAAGAAGTTCCCTCCACAAGAGAGTCTGCTTTGAATGCATCATCAGAGCTGCGTTGCTTCCCCTCAGTCTCACTGTCGGACCCACTGAGGCTTGTGGTAGATACTAGAAAAGAAAGAAGGAAAATATTTAGGTGAGTTTATGGCACAAAATAACATCTAGAAGTCTAATTTCATTGATCTAACTAGTGTTTAAAATATGCATTACACACATGAAGGTCATAAAATGACCTAGGGTCCAAAGTATTCTCTACATCTTACTGTGTAATTTGGGGCAAGTACCAATCAGACCTAAACCAGCAGTCGGACATCCCTCTGGCAATCTGGCACCGCTGGCTCCTAATCACTCACCTGCCTGCCTGCCTGATTGCCCCTAACCAATCTGCCTACTGGCCTGATCGCCTCCAACTGCCCCCTCTGCCGACCTGCTCGACCCCAACTGCCCCCCCACCAGCCTACTCAACTCCCCCACCCCCCGCCAGCCTGCTTGCCTCCAACTAACCCCACTGCTGGCCTGCTCGCACTCAACTGACCCCCCACTAGCCTGTTCGCCCCCAAATGCCTTCCTGCCGGCCAATTATCCCCAACTGTCTCCCTGCTGGCCCCCAACTGCTACCCTGCCAGCCTACTCACCCCCAACTGCCTGCCTGCCATCCTGCTGATCCCCAACTACCCTCCCTGCCAGCCTGCTCACCCCCAACTGTCACCCCCAGACAGCCTGCTCACCCCCACCTACCCCCACACCAGCCTGATCACCCCCAACTGTCCTCCCCTCCAGGCCTGATCACCCCTAACTGCCTCGACCTCAGCCCTGCCACCATGGCTTTGTTCGGAAGGACAACCGGAAGGTCTGCCAGGAGGTCTCCTGGTCTAATTAGCATATTACCCTTTTATTAATATAGATATTTATTGAAGATATAATTGTCAAAGTAACACAAATATAGTTTCCTTTGTTTTTGCAGTCCTTCAAACTTATAGGTAAGAGGACGAGTCCTACAGCATAACCTTGTTGCAAAAGATCTCCAAGTAAGACACACCTTAGCAGCTGCCAGAGTTGTAGGTTATGTGATTCCTGGTCAAAAGAAGGAGAATCAGCCGGGACCGGTTTGGCTCAGTGGATAGAGCGTTGGCCTGCGGACTGAAAGGTCCCGGGTTCGATTCTGGTCAAGGGCATGTACCTTGGTTGCGGGCACATCCCCAGTGGGGGGTGTGCAAGAGGTGGCTGGTCGATGTTTCTCTCTCATCGACGTTTCTAACTCTCTTTCCCTCTCAATTTCTCTCTGTGTAAAATCAATAAAATATATTTTTTTTAAAAAAAGGAGAATCAACAGTCTAGATAGTCACTGGGACTGGCTCTTTCCTTCTCTTTTACAGATATGCTAGAGGTCTGGTGCACAAAAATCGTGCACTTGGGAGGGAGGGGTTGCTCAGCCCGACCTGCACCCTCTCACAGTCTGGGAGCCCTGGGAGGATATCTGACTGACAGCTCATCACAGAGAGTGGGCCTAAGCCAACAGTCGGACATCCTTAGCACTGCCATGGAGGTGGGAGAGGCCCCCATCACTGCCACTGTGCTTGCCAGCCATGGCTGAGCAGCGCTCCCACCATGACATTGACCACCATGAGGCAGCTCCTGCATTGAGCGTTTGCCTCCTGGTGGTTAGTGCGCATCATGGCAACCAATCATTCCGCCAATGGGTCAATTTGTATATTAGCTTTTTATCATATAGGAGGGGTAGTAGAGTTTCAGTTTGGGAAGAAGAAAAGTTCTGATGGTTGCATGAAAATGTGAATACACTTAATACCACTGAACTATACATTTAGAAATGATTAAAATGGTAAATTATAAGTTATGTATTTATGTTTTACCACAAAAAGTACAACTAAATTAAAAACTCATTAGAGGGACTTGACAGGATATTCTAAATGATACAAAAAAGAATCAGTGAACTTGAATATAAATAAGTAGAAATTACCTAGTCTGAAGATTAAAGAAAAATAGATACACGGTGCTCAGAGAACTAAGGGACAGCATCAGTGTACTAACATATATCTAATGGCTATATCCAGAGAGGATAGAAAGAGAAAAGGACACACTTTTAAAAAAGAAGTAATGCTCAAAAACTGATGAATCTATATAACCAAGAATGCAACAAACCTCAAGTAAGATTAATACAAGATCTGCACCTAGACACATCATTGTCTAATTGTTGAAAGACAGACGAAATCTGAAAGCAGCAAGAGAAAAATGCATTACTACAGTTGGCTGACTTCTCATTTGAGACAATGGAGACCAGAAGAGTGGAATCAATGTACTGAATGAAAAATTCTAAACCAGCAAAACTGCCATACAATAATGAAAGTAAAATACATTTCTAGATAAAGACAGATTTGTTGTTATCAGGGAGTCCTTTAGACTGAAAGGAAATAACACCAGAAAATGACTCAAATCCTTGGGAGAAAGCAGGAGCACTACAAATGGTAAATATGTGAGTCAATATGAAAGAATGTATAAACATATTTTTTGCTCATTTCTTAACTATCTTAAAAATGTAAGGTTATTATTATAAAGCAATTATTGTAACACTAGAGGCCTAATGCACGAAATTCGTGCAAGAGGCTCAGCCCTCACAGCCCTAGTTAGTTGCCTTGGCCGGCCCTCGCAGCCTCTGCCATCCCTCACAGCCCAGCTTTGTCCAGGTCGTCCAGAGAATCATTCTGCTGTTTGGTCTAATTAGCATATTAGCTCTCTATTATATAGGATTGCATTACTGTTTGATATTACACACACACACACACACACACACACACACACTAGTATATGTGGTAAAAACTTTATGAAAAACTGTCAATGATATAAAAAACAGGAACCATTATTTCTAGGAAAATATAGAAAGCCATTCAGTGTCATGTGCCACAATAGCCAGATACTTGGAAGGTTACAATTCTTGAGCCACTGCTGCTATAATCCATATGTCTATCCGAGGACTAAGTCATTAAATGTAATAAAGCCAGATAAAATATAAGATTTTCTTATTTTATAGTATGCACTACAGGCCCAGTGCACGAAATTCATGCATGGGTAGGGTCCCCAGCGTCTACCGGCCTCTCTTCCCCTGGCTGGCTGCCTGCCATAATGCGCCCTGATGGTCAATGCACATCTAACTCCCAGTCAGTCAAACTCCCACCCATGGGGACAATTTGCATATTAGCCTTTTTTTATATAGGATATTTCTTAAGTATTTTATTTAGCATGCAAATTATTTGTTTTTCTGCAGGTTCATAGAAACAATTAAAATCTATTAAAAAGTGAGTTTCAAAAGTCACTTTGAGCATTAAAATAAATAACATTAGTAAGGTATAATGACCTAATGCTGCTATAACCATATACATATATACATACGTACATTAGGGAGTTTTCCTTCTTACTTACAACTGAATGCCAACTACTGATGCAGAAGGAATGATGGCATTAGAAATCCACAATTCAGCAGATATCATAATAAAAATTGGTTCGGGCAAGAGTCATCATTGGATGCTAAAACTAGTTGGTAAAAGCTTGATGAGGCGCAAAACATTTACATAGTTTCAAACTACTTGTTAATTGCAAAGGGGAAAATAGGAACTTTACAGCCTGGCCAGGTGACTCAGTTGTTTGGAACATCAGTTGATTTGTTTTCCCATCAGGGCACATACCTGGGCTATGGATTCAATTCCTAGTCAGGGCATCTACAGGGGTCAACCTATCAATGTTTTCTCGCTTTCTCTCTCTCCCTCCCTTCCTTTCTCTCTAAAAATCAATAAAGAAAAAACATATCCTTGGGTGAAAATTTAAAAAAAAAAAAAAAAAAAAAAGGTACTTCACAGCTGAGAAAGTTGACAGACATGCCCATAAACAGATACTCAAATTTACCATCACTACTGATAGGACAAATTGACTTACGCCCCCACCCCATAAGAGGGACAAAGTATCATTTCTATGTAACCTTGACAAAGGTACAGAACTTCAATTATGAGGAAACAAAGACAAATGCCAACTGAGGAGCATTCTACAAAATGCCTCTTTTAAAGTGTCAAGGTTATGATGGCAAAGATTTAGGAACAATCCAGATTAAAGAAGACTGAAGAGATGTTACATAATTTTATTATGACTCTGGATTGGTCCCTGGATGAACCATTTCTTCCAGTTTTAATGAAGTATAATTAACAAATAAAACTGTAAGATATTTAAAGTATATAACATGATGATTTGGTATATGCGTACATTGTAAAGGGATTCCCCCTCATGAGCTAACACATCCATCAACTCGTGTATTTCACTTTTTTGTGCGAGAACATCAAAATTCTACTCACAGCACATTACAATTATACAATATAGAGTTGTTACCATGTTATAATTCGATCCTCAGATCTTATTCATTTTATAGCTAACAGTTTGTGCCCTTTTACTAATTAACCTCTCCCTGTATCTCCCACCCCCAGCACCTGGCAATTACTTCTCTACTCTTTCTATGAATTCAACTGTTTCTTTTTTGGTGGGTTTTCCCCCCCTAGATTCCACATAAAGTATTTGCCTTTCTCTGGTTTATTTCTCTTAGCATAATGCCCTTAGATTTATTCATGTTATTGCAAATCACAGGATTTCCTCCTTTTGTTTTTTTAAGACTGAATAATAGTCACCTAAGTGTGTGTGTGTGTGTGTGTGTGTGTGTGTATTTGTGCACTGTGGGTTCCTTTGGCCTGGCCTGCAGAGTAGGGCCGAAACCGACTTCTGACATTCCCCGAGGGGTCCTGGATTGCGAGAGGATGCAGGACCCGATCGGTGCACAATCGGGGCCAGGTAGGGATGCAGGAGGGCTCCAGGTTGTGTCTGGCCCATCTCTCTCAGTCCCTATCTGCTGGACCCCAGCAGCAAGCTATCTTACCATTCGGAGCATCTGTCCCCTGGTGGTCAGTGCACATCATAGCCAGCAGTTGAGTGGCCTTAGCATATAATTAGCATATTACACTTTGATTGGTTGAACAGATGACCGGATGACTGGGCACTTAGGCTTTTATTATATAGGATACTAGAGGTGGGATGTGTTTGACCCAGACCTGATCAAA